CCGCCCTCCCCCGATGTCCGCAGAGGCTTTGGATTTGTCACCTTCGTGGATCAGGCTGGCGTGGATAAAGTTTTGGCCCAAACCAGGCATGAGTTGGACTCTAAAACAGTAAGTTCTCTGTCTTTCCTTCCCCTGGCTAATCTCATTGGCCGCTGTTTGATTAGTGGATTTTCGAATACTGTGCCATTAATGTTTATGTGGGGTGATGTTCTCATTGCGAATAACTGCCGCTATTCCTCCGATTTGGAAGCTTTTGCGTGATAGAGTGACAGTGGAGACACTTGGGCCAATCTCATTGCTTTCTGCCAATCATTTGGCAAAATGTCACATTGTGTCCATTTCCATAGAAACAAGGAGAGTTGAGCTGGTTGACTTCCCCTTTGCCACTCTTGGATTTGCTTCTCTGGAAAGGGAAACAAACTTTTCTTCTGTGTCTGCCTTTTCTTTTCTTTCCCGAGGGGTGGAAATGACCTAAGGAATAAAAGTTTCTCAGCAGAACGGGCAAATGCAACCTGAGACCATCAAGGTGTGACGGCTGCACCAAATAAAGTTGGTAGCACTTCCAAAGTGATAAAGTCGTGACAGGTTATTCCACCTGCACAACCCTAACTTGGGATGTTTTAATCCCGCATGAGAGTCCATGTGTGTGTCAGTGATGAATGTGGGTCCGTTCGGGAACAATGTGACTCCGTTGGTCGCCATAGGGACCACGGCTCCCTCCTCTCTCTCTCGCTCGTCACTGGGAGTGGTGATGGCGGCGCGTTCGTCACTGTATTGAAATAAGGAGAGGGTACTGCTTTTCCACCTTTTGTGCGCTGAACGATGCACCGACTCCAGATAAGTGGGGCAGTGGAGAAGAAATCAAAGAGAAAAAGTTGCCCTAGAAACTCCAAGAAAGCACACAGGCATGAGAAATGTACAATACTATTAACTTTTAAATGAATTTTTATTGGCTTTTCCGTTCGGCTCTTTAGTGTCACTTGCAGGGACAAGGCCTGTGACACTTTGTGCCACCATGGGTTGGACGCCACAAAATCGCCATGGGGTTGGTTTCCATAGTGAACCCCCCCCCTGCTTGCCCACTGTTGAAGAATAGCTCTGTCACAAAAGAAAAAGAGGCCGGTAACAATGCACATCATTTACAATTATTTCTTGGCTCCTGCAGGACAGTATAAACAGGCACAATCAAGGAGCTTGAAGGTCATTAAGTCCTGCTGCCTCACGATAAAGACATTGTACATAACACATTAACGATATTTTCCATTTCTTTTTTTTAAAAATCTTCAACTTGCCAGTGTTGATACTGCTTAGCATTGTCGTTCACCGCAGCGGATGGTGTTGGTGTGGGAGGCAACCTTTGGGAGCGGGTTTGACTGAGAGAACTCTAGACCAGCCGAAGGGGTTGCATGGTCACTACAGGAGGACTTTTTGGGAGGCTGCTCATCCTACCTCCACACCCCCCCCTCCCCATACAGACAGGTTATCCTGTTAGCGAGGGCAGAGAAAAGGTTCTCCAGTGGCAACACAAAGAATGTGCCATGCTGTGACCGACTGAATCGCTCGGGCGCTGCTGGAATGAGCGGACCTTTGCACAGCAGTGAGTCTGGCGAGCAAATACACAATTTATCGCTACTCTTAGCATTGGGGCACACATAGCGGCAAGTGTAAGACTTTGAGTTGGCCCTCAGCTTCCTGCCATCTCGAAACTGGGTTAGTTCGATACTAACTGCACATTTGTTGAACAAAGTTTGCAGTCAGTTCGAGGTCTCGTTAACTGTTTTAGCACTACAGCAGAAACACGACGGGGGGAGCAACCCCTGTCTGCGATTAGTGTGGCTCTCCTAACTAATAGGATTGGGCTTGAGCTGGTCCTCGAGAGATTTTGAGTGCTGCCCAGTCGCCATGCTGTGCTGCGTGCGATGTGTTCCTTTGTCAGGCCAACTGTTGCACACTTTAGCTGGGATGTACAGCGGATGGAAAAAGTCCCCTGTTCAAATGCTTCAAATTATGGGATCCAAAACTATAAGTCCAAGATAATTCATTTGTAAATGTTTGCCACCAATAATATGACATCAAACTAACTCAAATGTACAAGAAAATTAGACAGAGGAAGTAAGAATAATCAACTGAGCGAATATGGCTGCGCAAGTGTGTACACTTTCTTATAACGGCGGATGCGGCTGTGTTCAGAATTAACCTGTTCACACTCATGTTAAATCGGAGTCAGCACGGACCTGCCACCATTTAAAGCACCTCCAATCAACCCCAAATAAAATTCAGATGTTTTAGTAGGCTTTTCCTGACATTTTTGCAGCCGTAGTTTCGAAATGTATGTTTGGTGCAAACACAACACTGCTCATCACCAAAAGAACATCATACGAGCAGTGAAGCATACTGGCGGCTGCATCGTCTTTTGGTGCTGTTTTACATCAGCTTTCTTCGGCCTCAGTCACAGTGGAGGAATATTGAACAGTTCCACAATGCAGTTTTAGCGCAAAGTCCTCAAAGTCCAGAAAGCAGAAAAATGTTCGGAAAAGCCTGCTGGCACACCTGAGATTTATTTGAGTTTAATCAGTGCATTTTAACGGTAGAAATGGTGTGCTTACTGTGCTGACTCCCATTTAACTTAAGTTTGAATGTGATTTATTAATTCTGACTACAGCCTCATCCCAGTTTCAAGAGGGTGTGCGATCTCAGAGGATTCTGCTCCTCTGCGAAAGTTTACAATTTTTTTTTTTGGACTCAGGTCAGAGGTCACATTAAATCTGGGAAAGGTTTTGACATGTTTTATGCACTTTTCTATATCACAAAAACTTGGCATTTGAATTGAGCTATGTAGACGTTTTCAGAGCACAAGGCGATTTCTTAAACCTCTCTTGCAATTCCGTCCAGCGTCATCTCTCTTACCTTGCAGTAAGGTTCCATCTCTGCACGCACAAGGCTTCACGATATGATATCACAATGTGCTAATTTCGATTTTGTTCATGTTGCATGCGTCTCTCAAAAACCTTTCTCCACCACACAAATCACTTTCATGACTACAGTCATTGTTGAATGTCCACTATTTCCTTCCCGCTCATGCGTTGCGTGCTGCCCTGTTTGATTTTGTTTGTTTGTGTGTGTCTTTTTTAAATGTGCACAGGAGTGTTGGCCATCAGGAGGGTTGGTGACCGGAGGTGACTATCAGAGTAGTCTAGCCACTATAGAAACTAAACAGTAGACTCTGCATTTGATCCTCCAGTCTTAGCCTTTAGTCTTCTCACTCTTTAGAAGAGAAACGAAAACCCGTGGCAATCTCGAGTCGTATTCAAGTAGAAACACGCTGTCGTCCTCATTCTGGTAAACGCATGTGATTTACCATAGAGGCTCTAGCTCTCTACTGTACTGTAGTTTAACTTTACCCTCTCATGGTCGCAAACTAATCTTAGCGCCGTATCGCCTCACCATCTGTTGGCGTAACGGCGGTACAGTGTGGAGTAGTCTTGATCTCTACCTCTATTAGATCAGCATAGACTTAAATGCAACCTGTCTCTATTGACATTCTCATGTCACGGTGTGATGCTCTCTCTAACATTGGTAAAGAAATAATAATCCGAAGCGGACCCAGGAACTACAAAGCAAAGAAACATCCGGAATCACAGATGCTCCCATTTAAAGCGCGCATGGCCACGTAGAAAGACGAGCTCGATGCCATGCGTTGTTTTCGTCATGAGTTGAAGGAGGCAAAAAAAAAAAAAAAGCTAACTAACACAAACAAACAAAATGTGTTGGATCTGCTGTCGCTGTGGTGTGATTGACAGCTCCCTTCTCTTCTATCCTGTCTTCCTCAACCTGGCCACCTCTCGCTCTTGCTCTCTCTCTCTCTCTGACACACTTCCCCCGATTCCTCTCAAGCTCTCCTCACAGAGTTGAGGTGGGTTTGTGATTGTGGTACCCGTGTGAGATTCCAGGAGCTCACATGTCACATGGTGGTGACGAGAAAGGCAGGGGTTCACTGGACATTCCCAGGCATTCCACCTGAGCGCCGCAACACACACACGCGCACGCACACACACACACACACACACGCACACACACACACACACACACACACACACACACACACACACACACACACACACACAATAAAAAGTGCAATCAAATCTAATTTAGGCATGCCCGTGGTGTTCAAAAGTTTCAGCATGTTTGATTTTTTTTTCATAAATTACCAAGGCATCCCAACCTGCTGTATTGAAAGTTTAGGTAAAAATGTGTTTGGGTTAAATTTTGTTACATTTTAAAATGCATGCACTGGACTTAATCACAGTGCCCTTATTGCTGAAAAACAGCAGGACAGATACTGTAAATTGTGAAAAAATTTCAGTTCGTGTCAACGTTAAGTAGCATCAAGTAGCTTTTGATTTCACATCAGTATGTTTGAAAGAGGCCTCAAATTTTCTGATTACGTTTTTGGTGTGTTTCCTACTGTTGCATAAAGCCAGTCAGTGACACGGTATTTGCTGCTAGAAAACCGAAACGACAGAAACATAGAAAGGAAACTTTTTTTTTCACGCGCTTCGATGTTTTCAACACATCTTAAAAAGTGTATGGTGTATTCATCGATATATAACCGATCCAGTGTTTTGCCACCAGACTCTTTGCACTTAAGTTTGGTATATTCAAGAACTACATGTTCATAGCATGAAAAGCAGAATCGATCATGGTATCTATTCAATCTGATTAATTTCCATCGCCGTTGGTTATCTGTCGTGAAAATGCTGAAAACAGGGAAAGAACTTCACTGTATGGCTTGGTTCACAAACGGCCACTGATTTAACAAATTACACGTACATTCAACTGGTAACTTCTAAGATATATTGAAAGGTGATAAGGTTTGATTAAAACATGTGACTAGAGATGGTCCGTGTTTGTGCACCCGGCCAGCCCCGCAACACCCCTCAAGACACATCACTTAACAGGCCTCTCTGTCTCTGTATTATCTTCTATAGATTGATCCTAAAGTCGCATTCCCCCGGAGGGCTCAGCCGAAGGTGAGTTAAATCTCATGTACATTTACTGTAACTGCCAGGCACTATTCTAGGCAATAGCCATCAACTCTAATGAACGTTTTAAGTGTGAACCGAGATGCGATTGTTCATGAATCAAGTCTATTGCCACTAATAGCACCTAAAATAACACTACGCCTCATCATAGCCAATTTTGTGGTGTATCGAGATAGCATGCAAGTGTAGGATGACTTAATGAAGCCATCTACATTTCTTTAACCGAAAATAAAAAGTACAAGGAGGTCCTTTATGAAATATGATAGCATTTCTCCCCCAAACAAATACAACAGATATAAAATAGATCGTGAAAGAGTTGTATTATGCTCATTTATGTGGTAAGGAAATGATATGATTTTTAAGTGAAATAATAGTTTCGCGAAATATAATGCTGAAATAGTGAGACACAGTAGAAGCGCTACTTGTTATGCAGACTGTGTGACTTTCTACTATCAGGAGCTTGTAATGAAGCTCGGACGTGAGAACATGCTGTCCGGTGTCAGAGCTGTAAATCTGGCTGATCTCTTTTCCTACTGAGTACCAACAGAAATATATCCAGGCAACCGAGTTCTCGTCAGATCTTGTTAAATCATAACAATCTCAATGTACCGGTGATCTTTTTTTTTTTTCTTTTTTAATCAATATAACAAAAAGAAAATGGATTATGTGGTGACGTGCTGCTTGTCCTGCTGCCGTGTGACCAATCCTGTTAGAAAAGCCCCAAATAATTACAGGTGTTAAGTGCAGGCTGTACCCAAGCAGTCCTATGTGGCTGCTACATACAAAGTGGCTTCAAAATCAACTCGCATACAAAACTGATGTAACGGATGAATATGTGAGAGGGATTGTTTTTCAGTGAGTGTTTTAAGGCTGACATATACTAATAGCAGCAGATAGCAAAATCCCTCATTTCTGCTCTTTTTGAAAATGTACTTATTTGTTGAGAGATGTTTATATTCAGAGTCAAAACTAGTGAATTACCTATGCAGTCATTTGGTTTATGTTTGTAGAATATTATCCAGTACTTGTTACAAATAAGAAAGCTCATTTCCTTTTTCAAAAGCTTCTTTTGTCAGTGGAAAACAATCTGATATGCACTAATAGAACACCAGTGAGTAAAAAGTAATTTTAGTGAATTCTTGTTTTAATTGCTTAACAGTTAGTGACTCGCACCAAGAAGATCTTTGTGGGAGGCCTGTCGGTGAACACCACCATAGAAGATGTCAAGCAATACTTTGACCAGTTTGGGAAGGTGAGTGATTGTTGGAATGCTGGAGCGGCCTTGATCGATAAACGGTACAAGTATTCCTAATGCAAATCACCTTGGCTGGTTCTCACAAATGGATTCACTAAAGAAAACAGACAAGTGCTCGGAAGCGAAGGAGTTACTGTGAAGAGGAAGGCGAGAACGTGAGGACAGAAAGAAAGCGCTTGTTGGAGAGGGTCGCCGGGGAAAACTAAAGAGGCTGAGGGGCTCCTCAGGGCCCGAGCAGCAGGCGAACTTGGGGGATACTGCAAGTGTGCAGAGGGGAGGAGGTGGCGGGTGAAAAAGTTTTGTGGTGAGTGTATGGTGATGGTGAGGAAGGAGGAGGGATTATCAGAATCTGAATTAATCTGATGTAACAGCTGCTCCTACCCACAACCCCCTCCTGACCCGTTACCGTGGTGACCTGGCTTGCCCATTGTCCCTAAGTAATTCTGTGGGTAAGGGGGTTTTGTTCTGAAGGAGGGGGGACGAGGTGGTGTTCACGGGATGTTTGCATGTGCGTGTGTGTATGGTGGGGGTCATCTTGAGTTTAGAAATCATTTTTAAAAAGTTGACTAATTTGCCAAAAGTTCCAAACACACCCCTTAAATGTTTGACCAGAGGTCCTCAAAGTGTGGGCGAATTTTCATATCTTTTCACACAAAGTGGTGTCAGAGGCATAGTGCGGAGAATAGATGATGGGCCAACAAAGGCACCAACAAAAGAGGGGGGGCTTGATTGAGAGAGGTTTGTGGAGGCGTAAGAGAGGGAAGTGGGGCAAAGATGGGGCGTGGGGGAGATTTACAAAAGCTCTTATGCCCCTGCACAAAGACGGGCAAATATTTTGTTTCTTTGGGCCGCAAGGTTCCCGCCATATAGGAACTTTCCAGATGGTTCACATGAATTTCAACCAACCTTTCCCCAACTAACAGGTGGACACAAATCTTTCCAACTTTTTCAAAGTCGGACCTGTGAAAACTGTCTGCCATCCATCCTATCTCCAACAGGGTGTCACATTATTTGCAGTGCCAAAGGTACGGCCTCCAGGTTCCCCGAGCTCCCATCTCAATCATAGCAGCGAGATGAATTTTTTCGAGAGAGATATCAAGGGATGGCCGGTGAAATGTGGGCTCCAGCCATCCATGGAAGTTCCTGATTAGACTGCCTCACTGGACCTTTTGTGTCCCGTCATGGCGAGGACAAAGGAGTGTGGAGAGGGATGGGCCGGGGATAACAGGGAAGATGAGAAGTGGGAAAAAAAAGCATCAGAGGGAATATTGTCCAGCAGCACACCATTAAAGTGCTCACGGTTTGTAATATTGAGCAATGATGTGCAAGTCAACACACTTTGCAGCATGAAAACAGGTTGCAGGGCGCTTTTCCTGCTTGTTACTGTGGAGTTCCTCCCCTCCCTTTTGTTGACTGTGGGATCACAACTCTTTGACAAAGTGTGTCCTGGATGTCTTGACACAGATGTGAGGCACCTACCGCTTGGCCTCTTGGACCGACAAACTCGTTGGAGCTGATAAAACGAGCTGAGCACACTCTGTGCAGATGGGCCAACATTTGAGTGAAGGGAAGCCATGATTTGAGGTCCGCTTTCATACTGACACTCCTCGCTCACCTTTGACCTTTCTGGAGGCAAACTGCCCTTGGCGCTCTACGCGCACACACACAGCCCCCCCCCCCTTTCTCTCTCTTGTTGGCATACACATGTAGTACGCGTCAGTATGGATCATATCCACTGCAGCATCCAGTACACTTATTATAGATCAAGAGAACACTGATTCATTTACCAAATGTCTGTTCCCGCCTCTGCTTAGCGCAAACAGGTAGAAAAAGAGCAGGTCGACTTTGACATAAGAAACTCTGGTTATGTGTGTGTGTATGAATAGACACCTGTGTCTGTGCTGGATAAAAGGAGGCCGGACTGGTGGGAGAGGTCAAAAGGAGAAGAGGAAAAGGAATTATGGCTGAGTGTGCCAACAAACAAAACCTCCAGGCCTCTTTGTTCTCCCTCTCCCTTTGTCTTTTCTTTCTCCTCCCTTTCCACTTTGACCCAATCTTTTTTTCTTTCGTCCGACTCGCTTACAGCTCGGTGTACTCTCTTTCACCAGATCTCCACCTGTCGCTATTCCTCTCACTATCACCACCCCCCCCTTCTTTCATCGAGGCTCCACCTGCCTGTAAGATTCACCTTTCTACACAGCCACATTTCTCTTTTTGTGTCTCCCTTGCTCTCACGAGCACTCTCCCACTACTGCATTCATGAACCATATTTGATGTCGGCTTTGGGCCTTTCATGAGCACTTTTTGCATAGTTGCCATGGGAATGTCAAACTTTGGAGGGTAGAAAGGGGGCAGATTATGTGCTCCCTGAGGGGGATTGTGAGCTGGTGCTTCAGCAGTGACTTCCAGCTTTGCATGCCACCCATTATGTGCACTGGGCACATACCCAGCAAGGCCTCGCTCCCGAGTGGTTCTTTCATATTTTGCTCTCTTTGCTTCTTCTTTCATAACCTGCCGCCTGCCTCCAGTCTTCTTCCTCCTCCTCCTCCTCCTCCTCCTCCCCCTTCCCTTTCTCTGTGCGTCTGTCCATCTGTTGCAGAGCCTCCCTGCAGAACTTGAGAAGGGCTGAGGTCAGGCAATATGCCGTGTGGCAGGGGAGAGAGAGCGAAAGCGTAGTGTAAAACTGTCTTGTTTGTCCCCTCCAGGTTGACGATGCCATGCTCATGTTCGACAAGACCACCAACAGACACAGAGGTGAGACGGGCTGACCTCCTCTGTTCACTCGCCACAACTCCTACCTTTCCTGTCAATCCCTTCCTCAAGTTACTACTCTTCCTCCAGTCCTTCCTGGCTATCTATTGATCCCCCTCCCCCTCCTCCCCTGCAGAGCTCCTTCCTGTGGGCTGAGCTCGAGGAGACAAACGGGGCTAGTCTAATTAGCCAGTCCGTTAATCAGGATCAGGATAAAGCCTCCTTAAGCACCTCCTCCCCACCCTGGGACTGATCGATTGTGACAGCCTACCTACCAGCTTTGCCCTGGCCCTCTGGCCAGGAAGGGAGGGAGGAGTGGATGAGTGTCTGTGTGCCCGCGCGTGTGCATGTGAGTGTGATTGAGGGGGGTTAAGCAGCTATTACAACTGATTACTCTGGTCTATTAGCTGTAGCAATGTGCATAAAGGCATACTGTCTGAGCCCTAACATTGTGTGAAATGTTCCGCTCACGCACTTGCGTCGTCCTCTTCAGGATTTGGCTTTGTGACGTTTGAGAACGAGGATGTGGTGGAGAAAGTCTGCGAGATCCACTTCCACGAGATCAACAACAAAATGGTGAGAACTTTGGACTCGTCATTTAGCGTCAGAAAGTTGCTTAATTGTGTTTTTCCTGGAAACAGGTGGAGTGCAAGAAAGCTCAACCCAAGGAGGTGATGTCTCCCACTGGTTCGGCCAGGGGGCGCTCTCGGGTGATGCCGTATGGAATGGACGCCTTCATGCTGGGGATTGGTATGCTGGGTAGGTTCCTATCGATCAGAACAAGGGGGATCTCGTAGCTGTCCTCCCATCTGCGCTTCTCAAAATCTATTCCTGCACTCTTCACCTTAGCTACTTTGAAGGTCACATGACACATGATGAAAAGGAGTGGGACCAATCAAAGTCCTCGACTGATCAGTCGAGGACTTTGATCAAGTCCTCGACCAATCAGTCCTCGACTGATCTTGTGCTTCACCACCATGTTGCTTCGATCATCTCGATCTAAATTTCAGAAGATACCCAGTGAGGTGGCAAAGGTGCCAAGATACATTGTCTGGGCTTCACTTTGTTTTTCCCTGGGTGCCTTTTTATATCTGCAAGATTTTAGTCTATCCAGTACATTGTTCAGTGCAGGTCAGTTCAATGTTATTTATGTACCACCAAATGCGTATTATACTAATGACACACAGTACATTCTCATTATTTGTCACACCTCAAACGAATGCTCAAGTCAGGATCATTATGAACATGCCCCATGTCACATGGGGCATATTGAAATGCTGAGAAAATCCCTCAAATGCCAGACATTTACCATAAGTCTTTAAAAAAAACACGTATGAATATCTAAAAGTAGTCAAGTGGCACTTAATCGTTTCTGCTCTTCAAACTCCCTGAAACAAAATTGCGAGGCTAATAAAGGTTGTCTTATCTTATCTTATCTTATTCTAATCACTAATCTCTGAGTGGGCCGGTTTGTTCAGCTTTTAACTAGACGAACTAAGGCTGCCATCTACTGGCCAGTCAGATAATTGCAACATTTTCCCAGATTTTCTTTCAAATCAAATGATTGGCGAAAACATCTTTCTTTGTTAGTAATTCAAAACTTAGGCTGTGTTTACACAAATCCTTAGCTGTATGACTATGCATACAACGCATAGTCTTATCAAGAAAAAGGTGACAGGTGTCGAATATCACCCATCTACAGGTCATATCATACTGTACCGGTATTTACAAGCCACATTTTGTTTCCTTTTAAATAGTTTCCAATTACCACCAAGTTTGTGGCATACTGTATTGGCAAAATTCTGTGATATATTCCCAAACATTTTACTTAATTTAATGATGCACACATGTTTAGGACAGCAGTAGTTTTTGAGGTGCAGTTTGGTGCCGTTCCCAACTGGCATGATATGCCTCGGCTAAATGGTTAGCACATAATTTGCCTGACCGTTCAAAGGCTGGAGCTTTGAATCCGGGCTCCAGCCTTTCTGTGTAGAGTTTGCATGTTCTCCCAGCGTATTCTCCCTCTCATTCTTTAGGAATGTTAATTTAAATGGTTGTTTGTCTATACAGTATGTCAGTATCGACAGTCCAGGGTGTACACTACCTCTCGTCCAGTCATCTGAGATGCACACCTTCCACTATAGTAAGGATAAGCAGTATGGAAGATGGACGGGTGGATTGTTTGGCACAATGGCCATTCTAGTTTCAGATTTGATTTGTTTGTTTTGTTTAACCACGAACCAGCATAATGTTGCAGTGCCATGTTTCGTGTATGTCTGATCGCGTAACACTGAGTTATAATCTCAGACTGTGAACGTTATTGCACCTAAATCCTATCCCTGATGTTTTCTCCACAGGTTATCCAAGCTTCCAGACTGCCACGTACACTAGTCGAAGCTATGCAGGCATCACCCCTGGATATACCTACCAATTCCCTGGTAAACATAACATCCTCTCTCGTCATGATACATGATGATCATTTGATTTCCACCACTGTTAGCTGAGAAGGAGGACTCAATGACAAAGAGTTTGATGTGGCACACACTACACAGAAACTTTCACGTTCACGTCATGAGAGCTAACATGAATGAAAAGCAAGATAAAGCCGATTAAATGCTCAGAAGGTGTTTGACAAAATTTCGTCGATTGACTATTGTGAAAATTATTAATATTATGTTTACATTTTTATTGCTGTTCATCTCTCTTTAAATGGTCTGAATTATTTTTTTCTATGCCAGTGTCATATTTAACCACACTAATTCTGCTTGCTGGAATTGCCATAGCGTGGATGTACAAAAGTTCAGTTTCCCATAGCTGAACAGCAAACTAGTTGAGTCTATTTTAACAGCGCTCTTATTTTTTCAATAGCTCGGGGAATTGGAACTGTATCGTATAAGAGATACACTGTCACATCGCTGGAGTTAGGCCAAATCCTCCAATGTCACAATTTTGCAAATTTATATTTTTTCATACTCGATACTGTTGGTCAGTCCACACGTGTGCGTGTTATTGACCAATCTTAAGTGTTGAAAATGGCTTGCTCTCTTTGACGACACAATGTTGAACAACGGTTGAAAAAAAATATACCGTTTTGAAAGGTGAGTGTTATGGAGCGAATAGGTTTCCACCCGACGTGATACAAAATATTACTTTACAGAAACACATTACAACTGAGGGTGTAAATTGCTGCTTGTAAATATCGGGGGGTGGATTCACATCTGCTTTGCTTGCTTGTGAACGTGTGTGCTAGCGCTATGTGTGAAGGTGTTTACGCGTGTACAGTGTTCCCTTTCTATATCATGCTTCATTGTTCACACCCCTGCAATATCATGTTTATTTAAGCAATTGTTTTTTTTTTGTGGGTTCTTACATTTTCCGGAAGCTCACCTACTGTAGTGTCCATACATGTGGGAAAGGAGAATCACAGTCACCGATGCACTTTTCAGTTCTTTATGGACTGCTAGGAGTACCATAAAATACATAAACATGATGACTATACTTACGCAGAAGCTGCTGTCATCCACAGCTCACACCCATACACTCAGATGCAGATTTGCTATTGTCACATGTCACCCCACCAGGGCAGCCCTCTTAACTCTTCATAGCAAATGAGTTGAATTCCCTTAAAAACTGAATTTATGAGCATACTTATATGTGGTAGGTCTGATGTGTTGTTTTCTGCAGATTTTAAAACACACAAACCTTATTGAAGGTCTACATTGAGCTATTTTTCCGTCCAATAAATCCTGCTTCTCCTTCCTCGAATCTTGTAAGCCCTCGTTTGACTTCTCCACACTTCTCACCCCCACTTACTGGGGTGTTTGTGTTGTCCTTTGCTTGCCTGTCATAGGTGCGGTCTAGGACTCAAAATCACTCTGCTGTTTCTGTTTTAGAGTTCCACTTAGAGAGGACTCCCCTTCTGACTTCACCCCACCCCCCTGAACTCACAGGTCAGTTAGTCCCTCCTTTGGACTTTACAAGCAGCACGTTGTCTGTCTGGTACACACCCCATAAACTGCCACACACACACACACACACACACACACACACACACACACACACACACACACACACACACACACACACACACACAAAACTAGCTTTTACACTGACACATTTGAATTTATTTACATTTTTTTGTCTTCAGCCATTCCCCTCACTGCATATGGACCAATGGCAGCAGCGGCAGCAGCAGCAGTTGTCAGAGGTAAGATTTTCCACAAGGTTTCCCATTTTGACCATGATCAAGTTATACCATTGTACTGTATTTGCTTTGACTATACTGTACCTGTATGTTTTTTTTTTTTTTTTTTAACTGAAAACACGCCCAGAAGCCTTTGGCTAGACTTCTTTTTCAATTTTGCCCACACCACCGTAATGGATGTGAAGTCAATTGAGATGTGATGTACTTTTATTTTCACATATATTTTTATATATATTTAATTTCACAAAAATAAGGCATTTTTCATTTATGAATCCTGAGCCATTTGTGCATAGTACCTCAAATCTTAAATACAAGGTAAACAAATAAGTAATTAATGTAAGACTTTAAAAGAACATGGTCCTTACTGCTTCAATACTGATTTCCCCCATGATGTGCAAGGCTTGAAATAAGCGGTTTCACATTGCAGTTTGCGAAAGTATGTATTTTGCGCCTCATGAATACACATTAAATAGCAAAGCAGAATCAAACACCAACCTTTTAGCAACATTCAAAAAACGTTTGGGAACTGAGGACACAAATTGTTGAAGCGCCGCAGGTGAAATTCTTTCCCATACTTGCCTGATGTACGTACGATAGCAGAACGTAAGCTGCTCAACAGTTCAGAGTCTCCTTTGTCATATTTTGCACTTCGTATTGCCCCGGCCACATATTTTCAATGGGAGACAAGTCTGGACTGCTGGCAGGCCAGTCTAGTAACCACACTCAATTGCTTCAAAGGCATATTCTTGTATCACAGTGAAGAATATAGCTTGGCATTGTCTTGATGAAATAAGCAGGGACGTCCCTGAAAAAGATGGTAAAAAAGGTCAAACCTGTATGCATCTTTCAGCATTAATGGTGCCTTCACAGATGTGCAAAGTCACCCATGCCATGGGGGCTAACGCACCCCCATGCAATCACAAAAACTGGCTTTTGAACTTTGCACTGATAACAATCCTGGTCATCCTCCTCTTTGGCCCAGAGGGCATGACCAGTATTTCAAAAAACAATTTGACTCTTCAGACCATAGCATGCCGTTCCACTTTCTGTCAAAGCCTCTCAGATGACCTCGGGCTCAGTGAAGCTGGCAACATTTCTGGGCGTTGATATAAGGCTTTCACTTTGCATAGTAGAAATTTGAATTCGATTTGTAGACGTAGCAATGAATAATGTTAACAGTCATTTGGAACTTGACTCTGATGTTGTAACACGGTACCTTCAGGTTCTACCCCATCTCGCACAGCTGGATTTTTGGGAACCAGCAGCCCGGGCCCAATGGCGGACCTTTATGGAACAGCTGCTCAGGAGTCAGCAGTCAGCAGTTACCTCAGTGCTGCAAGTCCTGTCCCGAGTGCAGGATTCAGCCATGGTCTTGGGGTGAGATACCACCTACTGCACCACCCTGCCCAGTTTGGACAAGTGTTATAATGAGCCATAAAGAGTTATGCTGAAGTTCAATTTGAAGCAAGAACCAGTCATCGAGAGCTTTAGTTAGATCGACAGACAGACAGATAAATAGATAGATAGATAGATAGATAGATAGATAGATAGATAGATAGATAGATAGATAGATAGAAAACGCCCAGTTTGGACAAGTGTTATAATGAGCCATAAAGAGTTATGCTGAAGTTCAATTTGAAGCAAGAACCAGTCATCGAGAGCTTTAGTTAGATCGACAGACAGACAGATCGACAGACAGACAGACCTGTATGTTCCATTCAAATAGTTTTTTTGTTTTACCCCTCCCAAAGGTTCAAAAACATTTACATTTATCAAAACAAACTTAAATTGATTAAAGTGAACTTTTTAAAAGAATTCCCTGCCACCTTTTCTCACACTCTTGCTCGCCCTCTTCTTCAAATTAGAACCAAAGCGTGCTTGCTTCAAGTTATTTATCAGTCCTAGTTAAAGTTTACTGTAAAATTGACACTTAAAATAAAAAAATAAAAATAACTTGTGCAGTATATTTAAACACATAAATGTTCAACCAAACCATATAATTTCTTCAAAATGAAAGTCTATACTAACTTAATGCCAACATATTAGGGCTGCACAATATATCGAAAAAAACATTGTTATTGCGTCCAATATGCATATCACACAGGCGTGCAATAATTGCCCTATGAAATTGTATGCTTGTGTCAGACTTTAACCAATCAGATGTAACCTTAAATGCACATTGCCATGCAATAGTTGAACACGATCTCAGGGCATTACAATTCATTAGCTAAGAATACATCATGCTTGCTTATTTTGCTGCATGAGAAAATGCATTAGATTATAAAAATGTCATTTTTCTTTCGGTGCATGTTAAACATCGCAGTAATATAGCGATGACCATATTCAACACACACATCGCATATCACATGTTTTTCCAATATCGTATACCCCTACAATGTATGAAATGCCATAGATGGACTAATGAAAATTAGCAGCAACCTTCAAACAACTCCGACTTTTACCACAGCACAGAGCAGCAAAATTTCATTTACTCCATCATGGTCAAATGCTGCAGCTTTAAAGGAAATGGAGGTCAACCTGTCATGCTTCCTCCTACAGGGCCCTTTGATCGCCACGGCCTTCACTAACGGCTATCACTGAGAACGTGAGTTGTTCTACACGTTAAGAGGCAGGATGCAGTACGGCACGATTACATGTGAGCTTTAACTAATGCAGTTTGTTTGCATTTCAGTCAAGAGTTGTTGATGGACGGAGAGCTGGAGGGAATTGAAGCTGCTTTGGAGCTGATCTGGCCCAAGCCCTGTCCACTTCGCTTCTCGTGGTGGGGGCAGCTAAAACCCCATTTCTTTTACTCTCTCTCACACACACACACACACACACACACACACACACACACACACACACACACACACACACACACACACACACACACACACATATCACCCTCTTACGGCAACCTCAACACAGCCAACCCTAACGGCACCTTAGCAAAATCAGTCATGAAAATGTTTCGAAAAGCCAGCAAACAAAACAAACCGTAGCAAACAGATACAGATGCTGTATTTTTAGTGTTACTCTTTTGGGTTATGTTTTACTTTGCCATTTTGAGCGATGGCTGCAATTCGTCTTATCGGGTTATTTGACCTCTGAACCTGAATCTCCAAGTGAAGGTTACGAACTGTACTGCAAAAACCGTCAGAAGTTCATAATGAGTATTAACAACTAATTTGTGAACAATCCTGTTTCTAGAAAATGTGTCTGAACGTGTAGTGGTAGGTTTTAACAAAATCTTGTTATATACATAAAGCAAGGAAGCAGGTCAATGGTCACAGTTACATGGTAGGCTTACTTGAGCTGTACAATGTTGTAACATACTGTAAATAATATGACTTTTGTTCCGGGCTTAAAGGGCGGGGGCAGCTACTGTACTTTTAGGGTCTGGGAGGCTTTGGAGAAGTGCTAAGTTAGCTTCTTCTTGTCACTCCTTACATTGGCAACTTTGATGGCGAGATAGTTTCATGGACATCTCAATACATGTTTTTGTTAGAGCAGCCATACATTTGCTTAGGCATTTCTCGTTCCGTCACTTGAGTCTGTTATTTCACTGAAAAGCTGCTGTGAGTTCAGCGGAGGGAGGTTGTGTCTTTATTTTCTTTGACGTTTTTGGAGGGGTGGGGACACATGCACGTAAAAATGCTCCTCGCCTAGGAGAGGAAAAAAATATCCTGTTTTCTTACTTTGTCATAATGTTGTTTAACTGTGATTTTTAAGATGTGAATATTTTGGGTGGAAGAACATGAAGGAGTACTCTGTTGAGCGGCCGTGTGCACACACAGACACAATCAAATGTGCTGATGATGGCCTGCTGGTTTGTGTGTAATGTGTTTTCCGAAATGATGTACAATATTCACCGTATGCTGTTTTTGGTTGGGGGAGGTACCTCTGTTGCAAATGTGAAATTTTAATTAGACTTTTTTTTTAATAATACATTAACATATTTGTCAAAGTTATGTTCTTGTTGTTGTTCAAGGTGGCTTTTCCTAGTCACCTTGACATCCCTCACACGTATCCACTGGAGGTCACAGCTAAAGCAAGGTGACCACTATTTTTTTGACCAAAACAGTACTAAATGAAGTGAAAAGGATGTTGCACTGGCTGGCCAATTTTAAAAGGGCAGAAGAACAAAGCACTCCACATTTAATAAAAAGGTTTTCATATTTTCATAGACACTCAAACTGCTCCACACTACCACCATAGTTTTGGGTCTTCGATTTAAAAGAAATTGTCAAGACTGTAACCTTTTCAGAATTTCACTTTCCTGTCATGTTATTTCTTTGCAGAAAATAAAAACCTTTTTAAATTTCCTAATAAATTATTTTAAAACATTCCACTTAGGTTTCATTTTTGGCTCTTTTAACATAAATGTTTTTCCTAATGTTTAGAAATGTTTATTTTGTGGACAGTGTTGGTACATCCACTCTAATGGTTCATGACTGCTCTTCTTTTTGTAACATATTTTTTTTTTTTTTTTTTTTACTCTTGTCAAGGAGTACTCATCATTGTTATTGGTTTGTTTGTTTTTTCTTGTTTCAAAATGACATTAATGAAAATATTAAACCTGCCTTTGAACAGTATTGGGCACTCTTCTACCGTATAAGTTCCCATGATATTTTGTGAGAATCCCAACATCCACCTTTAAGAAAAATACAGTACACACCTTAGCTGAAGGATTTAAAACATATACACAGTATGTGTGTGTGTGTTTATATACCGGTATGTTAAAATATATGTGGCCTTCTTGCTTGTCGTTTCTCTTTCCCGTTAACATTGCTCCACTGCCCCCATCTTCTTTTCTCATCTGCCCTGCTTTTAATGTCTCGGGGGGGGGGGGGATGCTGCAGTCTGTCATTAACACTGAGGGCCTTTAAGGAGGTCTGCCTGACACAACCTGCTGGTGTAGGTACCCATTGCTCGATCGATCGCTCACAGACGATGTGTGCAACAATTTGGGCTGCAGCTGCATGTGCAAGTGGAGGGCATGAGTTGGAGGAGGAGGCTCTGGTGTCAGTCACATTTTGCCACCGTAAGCTCTGAATGAAGGCTACCTCAGATAAGTACCTGAAGCAGGCCATGAGCGGGTGAATGTGCTGCATGGAAGTTCGACTCTTTTAAAATAGAAACACTAATAATGTGTTTCAAAATATAACACACTCACACACACACACACACACACACACACACACACAGTGGTTTTCGGTTAATCCCAGGCACACACGAACAATGAACCATTCAAATTTAATAACAAATGAGAATCTTCAAAGAACATAACATGAATGTGAGAAGATGTCATGAAATGTGTTTTTGATGATTTGGTTTTGAGCAGACTTTGTATTGTTAAGTTATCCATGTCTGTCTTATAAGGCTTTGGTGCTTTGGTGTCCACCTGTGCTCGTCAACCCAGTCCCTTGTGTTTACCAATCAGCTCCCTCAGCCACTTGTGTCTTGTTCAGGTGTTTTCTTTGTCTTGTCAGTTGCTTTTTATTTTTTTTTAACGTTTCCTGGTTCATTCCGCCTTTGTTAGTTCCTTTTTTGTGTTTGCTGAACCAGTCCCTGTTGTTAAGTCCTGTCTTGCTGCCTTTTGTAGTAAGTTCATCCCCAGTTTTTGAATTGTTTCTTTGAATCTCCATTCATCCATCCATCCAATCATTCTCTAATCAGCTTATGCTCACTAGAGTCGAGAGTGTGCTGGAGCCTATCCCAATTGCCTTTGGGCAGTAGGTGGAGTACACCCTCAACCGGTTGCCAGCCAATCGTAGGGCACAGATAGATGAATAACCATTCGTGCTTACACTCACACCTATGAACAATTTAGAGTGTTCCATTAACCTGCCATGCATGTTTTGGGAATGTGGGAGGAAACTAGAGTACCCGGAGAAAACCCATGCAGGCACAGAAAGAACATGCAAACTCCACACAGGAAGGCCAGAGCCAGAATCGAACCCTGGGACCTCTGCAGGTGATGCTGGCGTGCTAACTAGTGGACCACCATGCCGCCCTCTTTGAATGTCATTTTGGGATTTTTTTTTTCCCCACGGTGCCTTGTTTTCTTTTTTGATTTTTCCTAACTATTTTTGGGGAGTACACTTGCCTTTCCTCCTTGTATTTGGGTCCTCATCCATACCAACCCTGACAGAAGAAGTGAGAGTCCTCAGAATAAAACTAGTGTAACCAAATGCAAATTCCACACAGGAAGGCATGGAGCTGAAATCCAAACCATGCTAATTACCGAGCCACAATACTGCTGAGGTTCAACACCTTACTTGTTTTAATCAAATCTGGTTCTGTATCAGGCTGGTGTGGATATAGCATCAAACTCCAAAGGAACGTGGAATTATGATTTTGGTGGTAAGTTTATTTTTCAATGAGATGACAAAAGGTGACAAAGTGATTTGATAGGGCAAAAGCCTGACCTATCACAAGTGTGGTAATGATGACATGGCATCTTCATGACGCGTGTTTGGCTTCAGTGGTGTTAAGGTATTATTCGAAATTCAACGAACACGCGGGGAAGAGGAGGCCGCTCTCCCCCAACAGTGGCAAGAGACTTGATCATCGTGGGAACACAAAGAGATCAGATAAAGGAGAGGAACCTACACAATAAGTTTGAATGGCGTTTATAAATTAAAAAAGAACAACACAAAACCGTGAGGTGTGCTTGCCACTCTGCAACCATTCCTTTAAACAAGAAACAAAAGAACTGCTTTATCTGATTCCCATGTGCAGGAAGGAACAGGAAAAATGAAAATTCGTCAAAACCCACAAAGAATCATTATTTTAATTATTGCATAATGGACGAGTCAAAGAATATCCACTTTCTCAAGTAACTTGACACAAAAATGAACTTTGTACCGTGTAGTAAAAACATATTTGGAGAAGTATAACCCTTATAACTTCAAATTTATTAAAAGCACCATGACTTAAATGGGACTCTATTGCGAAATGGGCAAAACTATGTTAACTGTCCGGGTAGGAACAACACGATAGCCATACGTCGCTCGATCGTGATATATCATGTGGCATTATCAAACACGCCTGGGGGAGAGGGGAGCGAATTTTTCATCACAATAACGCGCTTTGATTTTATTCCTGTTCTTCCTCTGTTTAGTCTTTCGTGTTTCTGTTCAAATGACCGACCCTCCGCGCAAATTGGGTTACAGGCAAACGAGGCGGAAGAGGCGTGTTGTTTCGTCTGGACACAAGCAAACACAACTGCAAGTCTACAGGGTGCGAGCCCGTACCCGCTGCTTGCGATCACGGAGCGTTTAAATCTACAATTAAAGTAGAGGAAATGCTGTAAAAAAAGAGGGTCGAGTTACTTTTTAAGGTGACTTTAGGTCCAGACAGCGCACGTCCGCTTAGTGCTCACAACGAGAAAACTGCTGGTCTAAGACGGAAACAACGGCGAAAACAGACACGACGTCTTCATCCACTCCCGTAGAGGACCGCACGATCTACTTTGGCCCAAGACTATAGACACCCAGGCGTAATCTAAGAATTTAGGTGAGTAACATACGATATTAAGTAGGATACCACACAAAGTTCACTATTGTAGTAGTAGTAGTTGTAGTCTCAAAACGCCCCTAGTGGCCAGTCTAGGAACATGTGCCGTACAATGATGCCAGTTATTTCCCAATGTTGATGACAAGGCACATCATTTTACACGACACAAAATAATCTCACAACACAACACTGAACAAAATATCTGTTAAGTTTTCAGTAGGTGGATTTTTCGATAAAGCTCTTGAATTAGATTATAGTGGATTTTGCAAGTATACCTAATAAAGTGGACAGTGAGTGCGTATCATGAATGGGCGCATGTGTTTGTGTGTCTTCCTGCATGTGTTTGTGTGTCTTCCAGTGTTAGATGCTATCAGAATGGGGAACAGCAGCAGTGACAGAGCCAGCGGGGGTCAGAGTGAACGAGGGAAAGAGGCTCGTCCCAACATCCTGATTGACAGCACAGAGGATGCAGATATTTTCCAGAGAGAGGATGCAAAGGTAACATGTTTGTACCAGTGCAATACAAATAATGCCAATGACCATATCAGACGTATTGTTTAGCTAATTTTAGCAACACTTTAACTGAATGAATTGATATTGAAACCAATGTGTTTTTAGACAGTGTCAGTGCCACAATTCGTTCAATTCCTTTTATTCCAAGGCCTGAAATATTTCTTTGTCCTTGCGGGGTAGTTTTACTAATCAGTTACTTCATTGGAGGAGCAGCTTTCTAATTTTGAGGAGCAATTTTTTTGCAGGTTAATTCGAGGGATTTGAAGCAAAGGTTAAACATTGAAAATGTGACAATACAATGAAGTACCAGTTACAGTAGTTTACTTTATTAAGCAATGAACTGATTGTATTTCTTGAATTCACGTTGTTTAGAGCAGCAAACTATTTTCTTGTGCGGCAATTTCAAACAGAAATATACATTTTAGTTGAAACTTGGTGTTTCTAAATAGGTTGTATGCTTGTATTGACATAAAATGACACATTTGTTGTGCAGACCTCAAAAGTCAAAACCAAAACTCAAGACTCTTTTTTTTTTTTAAACATACAATTAACATTGCTGATACTAGAAGTATTTATATGTAATTTTTAAGTTAATACTGTTAAGCTTATATGCCACTCCTCTTGGCTGACGTACGCCATAATGGAAGTTGAATAATTTCCAGCTTCCACTTCTGTTTAGCGAGTAGAGTTTTGCTCCAGACTTCAGACACTGATTAATTTTCCTGCTCTTTTGCTGCACATAGTTGGATATGCTACGCTATGCTATATCACTGTTCAAGCCACACTTTGGTTAAAAGCACATGAAATTCCAGTGTCTCACAATTACATTTCAACATTTTGTTAGCCTAGCAATTAGTGTAGCTTCGCCATCTTTCCTCGGTATCCCTTCGTGACAACAATACTTGTCAGAAATGTAGCTTATTCGGCCCCACGGAAGCAATGGAAACAACAACTCTGCAAAGTATTTTGCTGCACTAGTAGCTAGCCAAACCTCATTGCTAGCTAGCTGATGCGGCATAAGTAGCACTGTGCTCGCCTCAACCTCTGACTACCGGCGGTAGATGACATGAGTGACGTGAGTGCGTCCAGCGGTTGATTATCAATTTTGCTATTCAGTGTGTTTTGATGAAGCGGAGTAAGCAAAATTTGTCCTCACGAACTGCGATGTGAAACTCCTTACTTCAAGCCTTGAATTTTAATTAATTGATTAATTCTAGTGATCGCACCATCAGATTTCAATGCCTGGCTCAAATATACAATGGCAGGGCTCAGGACTCAAACTGGGATCTCTCCAGGAAGCGTTTCACCTGTAAGAGGTCTTGACGTTGCCACCCTACATCCATTTGACCCAAATCCAAGTCCTCAAAGCCCAAACTAGCTAGGACCGCTTTATTAAGTCAGCAAGCTTAGCGTTGGTGAAATTGAGAGAGCCCCTCATTCATGTCCTCATTAAAATGGAAGCAACCTTGTTTCCAGGTGCCACAGGAGGATCAGGAGTTTCTGGCCTGGCAGCAGGACCTGGAAAGTGACAGTAAATGTCCAACACTTGCCAGGCCAACAGTGTTCCGCTGGACCGGAAGCGCCAAAGAGGTCTTTGTGTCTGGCTCCTTTAACAACTGGTCCACCAAGATCCCTCTCAATAAAAGGTTGTATGTGAATCTTGCAGCTTGTTCATGAGATGAAATGGAATGACTCTGTTGAATGATGACATTACCTCTCACTCAGTAAGAACAACTTTGTGGCAATCATGGACCTGCCTGAGGGAGAACACCAGTACAAGTTTTGTGTAGACGGACAGTGGACGTTGGATCCAACAGGGGTGAGGAAATTGCTCTGATTTTGTTTGGACAGTATCAGTGAGGTCTTACTGTGTCTTGTTTGTTTTTATTAGTTGTTCAAGTTTCCCACAGAGTATTAAAATGTCTCAAAAGCATTGAATTTAGGAATTTGGAAATAATACCTTTAAACGTTTTGAAAAAAAGGCTTTATATCTGGGTCTTCAATTTTATGCTGTATGTAACTTCTTTGAGTACAACTTCTCCACAAAAGTGTCATTTGTCGTTTTGATTAAATAACAGCCTAAATAAGCAGGACAGAGGAGCGAATCATTGAGAATGCAACGCATCCCCGGGTCACAATCTGTGGTCAAAACAGAACAAAGCTTTACTGAAGAGCATGCGTGACAACACCACTACACAGATGTAGATTTTATTTATTTATTCAGTTAGTTTTTTTTTTTTTTTTTTTTAACCCAGACAGAGCTTAAAGACCTCCGTTGGCATGACGGAATTCTGTCATTTGACAAAAAACTGTCGTGCCTGCGCAGTTTGACAGTGAAGATGTTCCTCCATTCAGTTTGTCAAAAATGTCATATGTGCACAGTGAAATGCACTGTTGTCATCTTACCTCCTCACAATAAAAATGTCCTGACAGCTGGAATACAAAGGAACTTTTATATTGTAGGTGGCCTCAGAAGTGTCAGGTGAATCTTTGCGATGTGTCTTTCAATTATAAATGGCCTGCTCTACGTAAAAAAAAAAAAAAAAGTCACGTACATGCATGTGTGTAATATGCCATATAAAATCTGCATGGTCGTTACGGTGAAAACATCCTGTTCCGCCACAGTCAGAAGCCACACACATAGCTGCAGTTGGTTCTCTTTAGTATTCTACCCGGGCCCTCCAGCAGCAACAACAAACGCACTGACATCACTGACTGACCACTTCTGTGATCTGAAAGTCCAAGTGTGCAAGAGCCTGACCTTTCCCCAACCGTGTCACACCACTTTGTGGAGCTAATCCAAGCATGCGCTATTGATAAGAATGCACTGTCAAAACCATCCATATCCAATACACGTGTCGTATCTTTGCACCGGTGGCGAGCTGCAAAGCTGAACTTGCTTCAAAATTGCAGGCTGTCTCCCGAAACAACAACAATAATGATAGCAATTATGGTAAATAGTGCTTCAGAGTAAAAAAAAGAGAAAAAAAGTGGGTTTAATGAGGCAACAGACAAAAATGTTGACCGCATGTCCTCTTCATTTTCTTGAATTGCTTTTCCCCCACAAATGCAGATTCTACTAACAGTGTTTTTCCATTTCTATCCGGGAGGGGGACTTTTACCCATGCACCAGAATGCACAAAATTTGACCCAAAAAAAAAAATCAGTGTGAGGACCCCATTCTGATAGATACTCACTATTTACTTAATGCCTCCATTACACTTTTCTGCCTTTATATTTGTGTTTGAAAACCTCTCCCAGTTTGGACAAGATCTATAGTTGTCACGTGTGATTATTTAAAAAGAATCAGTGTGCACCCCATTGCACTGAAATTTTGCAATCTGCCTGTTGTGTCTGCTGCGCTGTGGTGGTGTTGCGTGAGTAGCCTACTCAATACGCTGCATTTTTGCATCCTCCACACATTCCACATTTCCACGTTGGAGAAATAAATTAACACAAATTCACAGATCTTTATTTATTTAGTTAGTTGTTTATTTATGCTGATATGACTGTGTAATAGGTATGAAATTGTCCAAAATCGGTCTTAAATTGTTAAATTTAACGTGAACAATCTTGTGGGAACCCTATTGTGTTTGTTTTTATTTCTTCCATTCCTTAAAAGGAAACAAGATACTATCGTTTTACATGAAAACTCACATTTTCAATGCATTTCAGTACGTAACTTCTTGGTGCTCTCACAGGCTGTGATCACGACAAAAACCGGAACCGTTAATAACATAATCCAGGTGAAGACAACTGACTTTGAGGTCTTTGACGCCCTTCGAATTGACTCTCAAGATTCTGCAGACATCTCAGGTACGACTCACTTTTGCTTTTTGTTTTGAGCAACTCTTAATGTGCTGATTATTTTTCATCAGACTTGTCCAGTTCCCCTCCTGGTCCCTACCAACAGGACGCCTACGTTGTCAAATCAGAAGACAAGCTCAAACATCCTCCTATCTTACCTCCACACTTGCTCCAAGTGCTGCTCAACAAAGACACAGGGATCTCAGTATGTCACCCTCTTCACCATTTATCATGTCAAACTTTTGTATTTAATCTGAGCTCAAGTCAATCGTCTTTTGGCCTTCCCCAGTGTGACCCAACCCTGCTTCCTGAGCCTAACCACGTGATGCTCAATCACCTATACGCCCTCTCCATCAAGGTAACCCAAACATCACGTCCAATTCGTCACAATTAGGGACTGCTCAATCTATTGCGATGCACTACAAGAGCAATCTGTGTATAAAGGTGTTAGGGCTGAATGGCTGGCATTGCCGGATGGGTAGCCAATTAACAAAAATACGATATGTCTTGTTTTGTCCCAGGATGGCGTCATGGTTCTGAGCGCAACTCACAGATACAGAAAGAAGTATGTGACTACTCTTCTGTACAAGCCCGTATAATTAATTTGAGTTTATTGTCATGGTGATGGTGTGGACCCTTTATGATGTTGTTTTAAATTCATAATTATATGTTTTATTTCGTTGTTGTTGTTTTTTTTTAAATCACAGTTGGCCTCATTCATTAATAAATGCATAGAAATGTTCTTACTCTACGCACAAGTTAAGTATACATAAGATCACTGTCGGATTTATGATTTGTGTGTACCAGCCCATTTTGTTTGCACCACCGTGCCTGTGTTGATTAATTCAAATTCATTCAAATTGAAAGTTCTCACTGTAATTTGCATATCGCCCGCCTTCATTTATTTATAATTATAAATGCAAATCTGTTTGGCGGCATTTCAGCCAATGCCAAAGGTGTATAAGACACAAGAGATGGCCCCAAAGTGTTCTGAACTTTCTTCATCATGATCCTGTTTTCAAAAGGTTGGTTTCATCGTAAAGCTTGCTGAACACAAAAACTGACAACATATATAGTAATAATTATATAAATCATTTTTTTAAATAATTGTTTGTGTTCATTACAACTTGCTGTCTATGTTCCTGAATGCTGTGAAGCTTTTCATTCCAATTGCACTTGATTGTAATTTGTTTGAAGCGTGACCAACAGATTACGCCGCCTGGTTAGCAGAGGTGTCAAAGTGAAGACCGTGCCACCGTTTGACTTTAGCCACAGGTTCTTCGTTCTTTCTTTTTCACTTTCCCGACCTGGATTTGACAACTTTGCTGGTCAGACATTCAATTACCATGTCGTTTTATTTCGGTGTGTGAAAATACTTGTGTATTTGTTTATACCTTTCGTCTCTGTGAACCATATTTAATCCGAGTTGCCTCGAGTTTCAAACCAAAGTAATACAATTGCAATGCCTTTTGAGGCCAAGAAACAAACACAGACATATGGGGACCAATAATTATGTTTTGATCTAATGTGTCCTTTTTTTTTTTTTAACTTGTGTCCAAATGATAAATAAATGTGCATTTTGGTAAGAACAGTGTGGTGAAAACATATTCCTTTATTGATTGTGTTGCTCAATTTACACAGTGGACTTTTGGATCCAGGTTTTTGTTTTTAGGGTTGAAGTCGGCCCGCTCGAAGCAATGAGCTGCTATTCGATCGCACTCGCACACGGCCGCCTGGCACTTGTCATTCATGGCTACGGAGACACATGAGAAAGATGACGTCATGAATATCACAGCCCAAGTAAACTGCATATATAGTTACATTGCGTAGGGGACAGTCGTACACACACTTGTATTCATTTTCTTAGCTTATTGAATATAATAACAATCTGGATTTGGGTCACAGACTCACCTGAGCAGGTGACTTGGTTATCTGAGCAGGTGAAATCATAAACCAGAACATATGGAAGATCAGTAATGGCCGTACATCCAGGAGTCTTTCTGCTTCTTTCATAGCATTTGTCGTGGACGTAACAACACCTGAAACGAACGGGTTTGCATTTTTTTCTACATAGAGTACAATTCAAATTCCAAATTATGACTTGAATGAAACTTTTGGCGTCTCCTCCTCACATGTCCAAGTCATCCCGTGGGCTTCCTGTGCCCCCAAAGCCACACCAACAGCCGTAATCGTTGTACTTCAGAGGGTTAACTCCTGGCTGGGCACATTCGATCATATCCCCAAACTGCCATAAGGCCTTGGGCAGTCGAGCCCCGCTGACCACACATGCTGGTCAACGGCGCAAATGAATCAAGTTAAAAGTGAGGCATGTTCTTTGAAAGCGGCGCTGTGTTTTCAGAATTCTCACCTGTGGCAAGCAGCAGCAGACGAGCTGTCAGGTTCATGGTTGCCTGCAGAGAAACGGGCAACATTGTCGCAGCTTGTACTTATAGACCAGGAGGTGAGCTCAAGATAAGGAGTACATGGGGAGGAGTGGAATAGTTTTTTTTTTGACTTGGGAATTCTATATAACTATTGCTCAACACTCAAACATTTTGCCTTTGAATTATAGTTGTAGTAAGCCTGAATGAAGACATGGTTTCATTTGATGTGATGTAATCACTCATGAATTATACTATTTGACATTACCAAATACTGAAAGATTAATTTCTGTTCTAATCGTTTCAGTTATGTCCCTTGCTCATAATGTTTCAAGACGTAGACCCAAAAGGACATCAGGATCTTAGTCCTACGACTTTTCCAATGCCTGAATTCAATACTCTTTGGACTACTTGTGTTTCTCTCTCTCTCTCTCTCTCTCTCTCTCTCTCTCTCTCTCTCTCTCTCTCTCTCTCTCTCTTCTTGCCATTCGACTGCACTTTTGCATTTCGGTCTTGCTTGACACGCAGCTGTGTAAACAGCAAACACTTGCTCGAATTCCCAAATCAATCCACCAAACATGTCTGATAATGTTCAGCTTAACTTAGCAGGAAAGGAAATTTAGTTTGTTAAAATTTGAAACGACTGAATGTGTCTGTGTCACTTTCAAAAGCTTCTACGAAACTTTAAACAGGAAACCCATTCCATATTTTTCTATCCATCCATTATCCGAGCCGCTTATCATCTCCAGGGTCGCGGGTGTGCTCGATCTTATCCCAGCTGTCTAAAGGCAGTAGGCGGGTTACAACCTGAACCGCGTACCAACCAATCGCAGGGCACACATAGACAAAAAAAAAAACAACAACAACAACCATGCACACCGGAGGACAATTTGGAGTGATCAATTAAATTACCGTGCATCTTTTGGGAATATGGGAAAACACTGCAGTACCTGGAGAAAACACACACAGGCACTGGGAGATCATGCAAACTCCACACAGGAAGGCCGGAGCACGATGATCTCTGCACTGTGAGGCAGACGTGCTAACCAGTCAGCCACAGTGCCATCTTTTTCCTTTTTTTTCCCTGTTGGTTTAAGTAACGTGTCCCAATACTTTTGTCCTTATAGTTAATAGCAAACAGGACCAGATGGATGGATGCGCGAAGGGATCGGGAATCCTGTATTAGTCTTAGCGACTGCAGTCCCACCAAGTCACACGATGTATAGTGAAATTATTTATTTGATCAATTTTGTTCCAGGCAGCATGGAAGTCTAGCGGTTGACACATCTGCCTCTCAGTCGCAAGGTCCTAGGTTTGAAGCTTGGCTTAGTCCACCCAATGGGGCGTTTGCATGTTGTCCCACGTAAGCCTTGGCATTCTCCAGGTACTCTGCTTCCTCACGCATTCCAGAAACAAGTTGGTTAGGTTCATAAAAGACCCTAAATTGTCCACAGGTGTGAATGCTTGCTATGTCTACTGGCAAATTCAGCTCAGATAAGCTCCAGCTCACCTGTGACCCTCATGAGGACAAATGGTGTCGAAAGTGAATGGGTGGAGGTTTTGTTCCGCTACGACTCACAGCACAGTGTATTTGGGTGATTTTATGAGGACATTTCTGCTTATAAAATGTCTTTTGTAAGGTTTAATCTTTCACAACCACTTTGTTACAGCTGCAGCTGTTGTGAAAGCACTGTATAAAAATATTTTTTGTAATAAAAAGACACTCATGTCATCTCATTATATTCAACAGAGACATTGGACATGCAATATGCTTTATTATTTTTTTTTACATTGATGAAAATGTTTGAAAACAAACAAAAAATACTCTGTCATGTGGTATGTAAGACTCATATGCGCATTTCACATATGTAGTTATATGATATATTGCAGTCAGCGTCATTCCACCGCCGGCGTACGCGGACATCGGTAGCATGAAATTGCCCGCAGTCCTCACCGTTTCTTCTGAAGGCCCAGTTGTCAGGCTGATCTACGTCCCAGAACCTCAGAACACACACACAAAGAAAAATCATGAAGCATGTGGTTGTGCTTTCAATGGCCCTCACAACTGACATTTACTTTGGGGTTTTATCGTAGTCAGTTCCATCCACCCAGCTCCACTCTCCCTCGTGAGCTCGTTCCACCAGCCCAATCCAGTATTTATAAGTGATTTCAGAAATTTCTGAAAGATAGTCCTACAGTAAACAATAACATGATCATTTGTTAATTCCGTTTATGCTGTGGAGATGCTGAATGAAAGAGCTGGACATGAACCTCACCAGTTCCTCCACACCATTCACAACCACCAGATGTGCTGCATGTGAAAGGCACTGCTGCTCAGCCTTGCTCCAGGTGGCGGTGGTGCTAGACAGCAAGTAGCAGCTGGTTTGGAATGCCACCCAACCCTCCTTACATGCTCCTGGGTTGATGCAGAGTATTTATAAACCAACGGCGGTGGTGCCACCACCCCACACAACCCCTATCAACTATTGCGTTTCGGCACGTGATGGCCATCCCTGCAGTGCAGCCAAGAGAAATACTGCAAAGCTGAAAATAAACTATTGGGAATAAATACAACTAAGTCAGCCTAATGACCTAATTCAACTTGCATAGGCATCAACTCCCTGGCACCCTGAACAGGATAAGCGATACAGAAAATGGATGAATAGATGTTATTGAGAAACCTCAACGTTTACCTCTAACTGGGACACGTTTTTCTAAATGAACATCGTGGATAGTTGTCCCATCACCTTCAGTTGGGAAGTAAAAAAAAATCACAGTTATTTAAAATACAGTCGTGCTACAACATTATAAGTCAGTCTTTACTTCCTTACCCGAGGCATGATGGCTGAGTCTTTCCAAGTGAAGTTTGATATCAGTGATTTCCGTATTTAACTGTGAGACTTCAAGCAGAGGAAATCATAGTAACACACATATTTCTTTCTGTAAAGCTTACTGAACGGCAATGACTTTATAAGACATACATTTGATCCCAGTTACCATCAGTTGAATTAAAAGCAGGCCAACAAGGATGCCATAGAGGGCATATAGCAATATCCTCCTCATACCTATAAATGACAGATGACATTTATAGAACATAGAGAAAAACTGGAATAATTTAATCATAAACCTTGGAATATATTCTACCTTTGTCCAAAGTCACATTCTGATCTGCAAGGTCAAATCTCTCAGAGGTTGACTCAAACTGGTTGTACTGAGCTTCCATCACTTGAAAAACATGTTCATGTTCATTTTCACTGACACATTCATAATTGCAGTATCACAATACAGTATGCTAATATTGAACATGTTAATTAGAGCAAAAGCATGATTAATTTAGCAACATGTCATGGAAACATTTACCAATTAATTCTAAACTACATTAAAAAAAAACGAATTAAATTGTATCCACATTCACTGAGTATCTTTAAATAGACCTAATAACTACGAAGATAATTCACATACAAGCGTTTCTATTCTTTATGCAAACAAATTCCCAACGCGCAGATGTACTTACCCAACAAAAATATATTTTTTCGTGAATCTTAGACAAATAGAAAATGTACTATTGTACAGCATTGCCAGGTTGGACTCTGACCACGAGGACACAGAAAGTCCTCCCCTTTTAAGTAAAGTCAGCCAGTATTGATCTGCTTGTATGTTGGGGGGGAGCTAGAAATAAGTCATGGGAAACTTTCTTAACGCTGTTATTAATTTATTTTTAAATATCTGTACATTAAATTTTATGATTTAACTTTTTATTTCTCTTATTTGTATGATTTTTGAAAACTACATTCATTAAATTTGCATATTATTGATACACAACCTCCAGTTCCACCTTTCATTGGAGTATGGCGTTGGCTGGTTTATAAATATCAAAGAATTACATTTTAAAATTCTTAACTGTGATTAAAAAAAAACCCTATCGTAAATTTGTTTCTATATTTAAACGCGGTTAAAAATCTTGATTCAACAAAAAAACAAAAAATAGTCATTCACAATTATAGTTGGGTTGCGATTTGTCACCCTCATTTACAAAGCGAACAACTTAAATTAAAATACAGTTGTGAAAAACAAACATATTATCACATACTACAAAAATAATAAACATAATACATTGATGATTATATTAAACAAAAAACATTTGTGTTGTAATTATAATGTAAGAGTTGTCAAAAATAGATTTCCTGTCACGTGACTCTTAATCCAAACGTCTTTCCGCTGTGTCTCGATCCATTTGAAGCGAAGATGGCGGTCGTGGGCCGACTCACTCAAACCTTGCTGAGGTCTTCCTTGACGCAGACCCGTCGCCAGCTTTCTGCTGCCGCTGCCGGTCATGGTGAGCAAGCAGGTGAGTCTTACGGATGATTAAAGACTATACTTTGTTTTAACGCCATTCATTGTTTTTAACAAGAAAGGGCTACGATTTCACGGTGACCTTGTTGCTTGGGCATCAGCTCTGTTAGCACTTGCATTAGCCTGGTATCCTTGACTCGACAACATTCAAGACAAGTTTGGTGAAGACGAAAACATGTGTTGCATTCACTCGATGAAATAACGAACGAGTGAAATAACCCATCAAATGTGAATGCCCAAATACTTTGCTGAGCAGTACGTTATCTGTAAGTAAAGTGTAGACGGTACTATGTGCAGTAGCAGTTTCAATCCCGTTTGTGTCTAAAAACAGTGTAGAGAAGTATTAGTTAGTTTAGTCACATTTAAAATATCAAAGATATAAATTACATTAGTAGTTATGTGACTTCAAATTGAAATATTTATTTATTTACATGAAACCATCATATTCTGACAAGTCAATCCAGTGATCTAAGTATCATTTTCCCGTGCCAAATATTTAGAAAGTTATGACTCCTGGAGAGCAGTGAAAATGTAACAATTTCTGCGCACGTTGTTTTCATGGAAATTTCACCTCTTGTCCGATCCTGATTTTCCATCGCTCCAGCTAGGACATGGAAGATACTCACCTTTGTGGTTGCCCTGCCTGGCGTTGCGGTGTGCATGTTAAACATGTACCTGAAGGAGCAACAACACAGCCATGAACAGCCAGAGTTCATCCCTTATTCGCACCTCCGCATTCGGAGCAAGGTTGGATTTAAATAGCTCAATGTCATTTGGTTTTACTTGACTTGCTTTTCATGTCTCTGACTGATATATTTTATTTGCAAACAGCGGTTCCCCTGGGGAGATGGCAACAAATCACTGTTCCACAATCCCCATGTGAATGCCCTTCCTGACGGCTATGAGGGTCACGAAGAGTAGACCCACTTTCCAGACCTCATAACTGGTGTAGGGACCAGTTCTCCCTCAGTCGGTTTTTCTTTCCTGGACCACACACACACTCATCTGCAGTTTACTTCACTTTTGTTTTTACCTCTGAACACGAGGGACCTGAGCCGACAGTTCTTTGCTCTGTAATATTGAGTAATACGTTACCTTAAATAACTGAAATAAAGTAACTTACTTAACTTTATTTTGTGTATTTCTTTTCTGTGTCGTTTGTAAAAGTTTCAATTTGCTTAGACAAATCAGTTGTGACAAAAGAGTTAAAGGAATATTTGTGTGTGTGTGTGTGTGTGTGTGTGTGTGTATATATATAAGTACCACAAACTTAAGCTTATTTTTTTAAACAGCACAAACCAGCACAAACAAATGGTATCATCTCGGTGCATTTGGAGTAGACTGGGGGACTGGGAACTAGTTGGAAAAAAAATGTTAAAACACTGAAAAACGGTACAAACAAAAAGTTTATAAAGCACAAACAGAACAAATTTCCAATTTTCCCCAAATTTTGGTATAGGTCAGGGATGGCAACTAGCAGTGCGGGCCATGCCCACACAAGCGATCCCCTCGATTTTTCCCAAAAAGGAAAAAAAAAACATTTTTGTTAGCTCCTCTGTATTTGTACCTTTTAATAGGTCCATTCACCACTAGATGGCAGACATTGTTTAGTTGCACTTCCCCCAAGAAGTAGCTCACAGTTTCAAAAATTTTGCTGACCCCAAGGTCAATTGTACCTTCTGCCATCTCGTGGAAACGCACTTAATTGTTTGGCCTGTCTGGGGTGGATGCATGTACAAATATTCAGCTGTAAATAAAACATTTTCAGACCAATTCAGTGATATTGGATAGTTTCCTGTCAATGTGCCATGGCACTGCCACTGTAAAAAAAAAAAAGCAACAGTTCCAGGCATGACGCCGTGCAGTTATATCGTTGCAAAATATTGTCACAACAAACATACTGTTAACCGAACGTAAACGTAACTCTGAATCCATAAAAATAAATGATAAGGTATTTTTCCTTTGAGTGCACCCCAATCGCATGTGCAAGTGTTCTTTTCATCCCAACTTTTGACATTTGATACGAAACTATTTTCTGGATTGTACTGCCCCTTTGTTTTTCAATCGACTATTTCAGACAACAGTACACTGTAGTTCCTGTAATACAAGGTTGTCCCTCAACAGTCGCCGTACTTTCACATGACTCTCTTTGCGTGTGACTGACTTACATTCCTCTAGTTTTGTTCCTCTTGTCAAACTTTTTTTCTTTTTTTTTTTTTTTTAGCGCGGACTAACCACAACAAACCCTGAAACTTGGCTGTAATTATTTAAACTTTTTCCATCCGCATCACGAATTTGTTTTAGGATTTTCAGGGCACAAAATGTTGCTTTGCAGCATCTAACGCGGGCTGGGGCTACATGGCAGTTTTGTGTTTTATTGGCGGAGACCTGAAAGAACTGATGGCAGCGTAATACATCCATTTGGACCATGGCGGAACTTCTTCCGCCGGAATCGAGAGGGTAAGACCCTGGTCTACCTTTCACTTTTACGTCTCTACCTCGCTGTTGCCCACGTTTGGTATACTGTCTATTTGAGATACGTTTTCATTCGAACATGCCTCCTATGTTCCTGTTGCGTCTCAGTTTTCTTCCACTCGTTAAATTGATCTTGAAATCGTCTAATACACTTGACATGAACATTTGAAGCTGGGGACGTAAAGGTCTAGTTTTTACACACCAACACAACTTGAACAAATCACGCTACTACATTCACATTTTCTCATTTTCGTGTCTCTCGAGTTTGAATTTGAACTATTCCGCATAAAATAGTTGTACATAACCACAGAGGTTTATACACAATATCTGTGCGTACTACATAATTCCTCAATGTTATACTGTACTGTATATCACTGTCAATAATACATTTTTCAGGAATTGTACAAATATTACAGAATCATATTTAGACTATATTGACATCTATTTTTTCTTGTTTTGAATAGATTAAATGTACTCTTTCATCATTGCTGTTTGTTCTTTGTTCATTGTTCTACATTTCTAATAAGTGTTTGTGAATTTCGCTGCTGTGACTGTTATTCTATCTATCTATCTATCTATCTATCTATCTATCTATCTATCTATCTATCTATCTATTTGTCTGTCTGTCTGTCTGTCTGTCTGTATCTAATAAGAACAAACAGTGATGATCCTTCGACAAATTCTGTAAATTTCTCTAAATTAATCATGAACAATTAAGTTTAATAGTACAGATGTTATCACTACATTATCGAAAGTCATTGTCAGAAAAAAAAAGATTTTTTTTTTTTCATGACAAATTTTTACACTTGTTTTTCTGCAGGTGTAATTTATTTTTCCTGTATGATGGCTCCAAGGTGAAGGGAGAGGGAGATCCGACGAGCAAGGGGATCTGTTATTTCTATCCAGAAGAGGTTTGACTGCTGGAAAACTGTTCCCGAAGGCAGTTGAATTTCTTGATTTTTAAAAGAACAATGATGATGACATATACAGTCTGTCTTTGCTGCAGACCCCCATAGAAAAGCAGGAGCTACTTTGTGGCCAACTTGCCGGAGTGGGCCGTTGCATTTCGGAGCTTTCTTCCTCCCCTGTGCGCCTTCTGACACTGCGTCGCCACAAATTTGCAATCCACATGAAAGAGGAATTCTTTTGGGTGAGTGTGTGTGTCTGTGTGTGATGTCTTGAGACCGAGTTATTAGTCTCTGATAGATGACCTATCTCCTGTTTTTCCTCCTTCAGGCTCTGGGCTCCTCCATGGAAACTCCAACTGTCAGTGTCTGTGAGCTATTGAATAAGATAATAAACCTCTTTTGTTTCTACAATGGCTCTGTTCGCCAGAGCTACCAGGTACAATATTAGTAGCCCTTTTAGATTGTGAACCTAATGTGCAATAAAATTTACGCAAGACAGTAAGGGTGACTTTTTGGGATGACACAAAAATGATTTATGATTAATGGATGACAATCTTGTAATATAAGCAGTTGTGGGCAGTCCATTTGTTAACAGGGGCCTTCAGGAGGCACTTATGCAGACTTCACTACGTACATCATCCGGTGCAGTTTACAATCAGTATTTATCATTTTAATAAAATATATCATACTCGCCAGATGAGGAGTATTAAATGCATTGATGTATATACATAGCTAGAGACGTGTTATATTAAGTTGAATTTGGCTTGCGCTGACCAACCAATCAGAGGACATAAAAATGCTAACGCTATTGTAGACAAACTGCCTGGTACCATGAGGCAAATGTGATAATATTGCTGCCAGCTGATTCTGAAGGCCCTGGGCAGATTAGAATCATATTGTCATGAGTTTGAGATCTCTTTGGACAAAAAAAATAAAATAAAATCCAACATACACATACAGGGAAGCAGTTCGGTCTCGAGGAAAGAAAGAAATGAACACAAAATCATCGCACAGCTATCACAATTATGGTTGTAAATGTCAGATCCAGTTTCTGAAAGTGTTTAGCTCAGCAGAGAAAGCTTTGCTGGTCCTGACTGTCCAAAGTGATCATTTGTGTTTTTTTTCCCCCTTAGCTTCATAGTCAGGAAACCTTGGCTGCTCGTTGGTCACAGTACCTGTCATACCTGCTAGCTGGACCTTCTGAGCTTCATCATGTCTTCAGCTCCTTGACCACTATTGACTCGACAAATGTACGTCAAGATTCATCCATCCATCCATACATTGTCTATTCCGCTTGTCTTTTTGAGGGTTGTGGGTGAACTGAAACCAAAAATAGTCCACTTTTTTCCCTGACATTCACACCTACAATTTAGAGTCTTCAATGAACCGAAAATGCATATTTTTCAGAGTGTAGGGTAAAAAAAGATGGAGTGTCCAAAAAAGAACAATTAATTTGAATGCTGTATAATTTGAATGCAAGTGTTGATGCACTCCAATTGTATCGTTGCTGCTCATGCATGACTAGAAACAGGATATGACTCTCACAATGTTTGGTGTTATTGAGCAATACCGAGACATGCTTCTGCATTTATTAATTATGATACAGGCTGAAGTGTGCCATCCAAATTTGCTCTCGTGGGTTACACAAGGCCACAAGCCTTTGTGAAAACTGTCTGATATTTTCCACTTGGGTCTTTGTACTTGTTTCCGGTGATGAGCAGTATTTTGCTCCTCAGGTTGACCCGCTTCTGCTGCTTAAAGCCGCCCTCATTCTGCAGGCCTGCCAGCGCTGCCCCCTAGTGTTGGCGGGCTGTATTCTTTTCAGAGGAAGGTAGGCTACTCACAAAAAGGAAGGGATGTTTGTTGAGTTTTCCAGTACAATTTCCACATGAACCCAAAATGCACTTTATCCTTGAAAGCCAAACTTGATTTTATCATCCCTAAAGTTTTGAATGCCCATGTCCAGCTGTTCACTGTTTCGGTACTTATTGCACAACTTGCTGCTCGAACTTCCAAGGAGCTGACCAACAAAATTCACAAAACATATTTGATCAACGAATCAACTGATACATTTCCAAGGACGTCCACTTTCTGTTCCTCTTTCAGTCAGTGGCAAATTCTCTGTGTGAATTTTGCTCTTTAGCTCCTTGTTAGGTAACAGCATATTGCGTAAAAACGATTGAAACACTGAGCACTTGCACATGCAGATTCAAAAGTTTCGAAATGGTCAAATTAAGTTCACCTGCACCGGTTACCGCGCGTTTGCGGTTCGTGCTGAAATTTCACATGAAAGCTGAATATCCTCAACTTTTTGTAAGCGCTGCATTCTCTAGATAAGCTGTCCGTTGAGATTTTTGTCATGAAGCTATTCTTCCACCTCTCCTCCACAGAGTCGTGAGCACGCAGATGTCCCCAGATGTTACCATGAAAATTATGGCTCATGAGAGTGAAACCTTCAAGGTGAATGAATCGTTCTTTTATTTGCTGACATTCCCCTGGTAGCTGGCTTTGACAGTGGTTCACTTGGCTGCCCATGTTCAAATGTGTGGAGTATGCACGCTCTCCCTATGATTGTGTGGCTTTCTTCAGATCTTCTGGCTTCCACACACATTCCGAAAACATGCAAGTTAGATTCATCGAAGTCTTGAAATTGGCCACTGCTGTGATTTTTAAACGTGAATGGTTATTAGGCTACTGATGCCGTGTGACTGACTGTTGACCAATTCAGTGTCAACGGCCTCTCATCCCAAGTTATCCGGAATAGGCTCCAGCTCACCCGCGACCAATGGCTGCTATTGTTTTTTTCCTGCCAGTTAGTGCGTGTACATTAGGGTGGTCCATTTTGGAAAAGTTTGTCGGATTCGTCGGGCCGGGTCGGAAATCTTGTCGATACTATGACACAAGGATGTGTGCAAAATTTTATTCCGATCGGATAATTTTATCCCGTCCCGCAGAGCGACCAAAGTTTCCCCTATGGAAAGAATCTTACGGGGCTGAATGGTAGTACGGTTTCTCCCGTACAGTAAGGATTTTGTTTTGCTCAGTTCGCACTTGCAATTTTTCAAAGACGGAAGACAGGAACGCATGTATTGCAAAAAAGGCAACCGTGGTTATCCTTCAACACTGGTGAGATTGTTGGTCCATGTTAACTGGTCCATCTGTCTATCTGTCCATCTGTCTATAATGTCCATCAACACGAGTGACACTGTTCACCACCCGTAGGTGACGAGCGCGCCGACGAGCCGTGGTGAGCTTCGGGCTGCCCAACAAGCCACACTTCGGTGGCTGAGCGTGAGCGTCTTGCAGTTGCAGCGGCCATGCTGAACGCAGGCACAGCCACGACTAACGCAATACGCAACGCTTCTCCTGGCCCAGCAGGAACTGCCGATCCTCGTGCTCTTTTTTTTTTTTTTTTTTTCGATGTCGAAAAGCGTCCTCAGCTCAGCGTCCAGTAAGAATTCCGGCGATTCTCGACTTCAATTGAAAGATATTAGCTCGCCAGTAGGTGACCGTTGTGTGTTAGGCGTGCGTTTGAGTTTGTCTCCGGCTGCTGAGAGCAGCGATGGAATGGTTAGTTAGTCAGGAGGTGATCGTTCGGGCAACATTCAGCCCAGCCAGTGTCACGCATGGCAAACAGGGCACGGTTAAAATACACATGTTCACCCTATTGAGACCAGTTGTTATGGTGGAAACTTTGGCCGCTTTGCGGGACAGGAAAATATCATCAGATCGGAATGAAATTTTGCACAGAACCTTGTACCATAGTATCGACAAGAATTCCGACCCGGCCCGACGAATCCGACAAACTTTTTTTTTTTGCCATGAAAATGTGGACCACCCTAGTGTACATGTATGTGTTAACTTGGCGATGGCTGTTTATGTCGAGTCATATTTCCCAACAAAAACGAGATATGCCTCTGTTTTCCATTTCTGTTTAGGCGCAATCGCCCACAGGCCCAAACCCATCCAGCTTATTTGGCGATGCCGTCAGCTCTACTTCTGTGTTCCTCACCATGTTTGAACTTCACTACCTGCAGTCTGCTCCTGTTGACAGAGAATCATGGTACCGTAAACAAAACACATTTCAATTGTATGTGATTCGCCATCTTAACACTTCTAATCTGGTACTCAGTTCAGGACCAAAGCGTGTTTTAAATCACACATGATCGTTCCTGATTCTCTTCCTTGGGATACACACATGCCGATAATAGGGTGTCATTTCAGAATCGCCCATGTAGAAAAGAAGCAAACTCGGCCTGATTTTTGGATTTCTCTGATCGATTATCCTATTCTGTTGGGTGTGTTAAAGATCCAATGCCTTCAAAATCCATGTCCCCCCCTGCCAATCAAAATGAGTCTGTGACCTGGTTCGAGTCTAACATCTATTAAGTATGTCAATTAGATGCGCTTCCAAAAGGAATGTAATTTCCTATTCTTCCAAACCCCACTCTAGTTATTGTGGTGAGATGTGTATACAGTATGTTACAGTAACTTTATGTACTGCAGTATCTCAACTTGTACATCAACAGCCCGGCTTGACTCGACAGGAACAGAGGGAGACAGTCCTAGACATTGGATTAAAATTCTGGCCTCATGTTTCTCTGCTCTGCGTCCTGAAGCTTTTCTAATAAGTCCAAATGAATGGAAACTTTGGAGCATGTCACAAACAAAATTGTGCGTGCCAGATGAAGTCTCGATTTGAAGCGTGTGTCCTTTCCAAAAAAAATCACATGGCCAATGACAAACAAGTTGTCGGTTTATGCAGATGGCGTCATTAGTTCATGCATTGTGTCTGTCTTCTGAGTTTGGTCATGTAAAGTCTGCAAGCTGAGCCATGGCTGATCGTTACCTGAGTCCTGAACAACTGTAATGTCGTTTTTCAGTCGACAGCAAGCGGTAGAAGATGAATAAAAAACAGTGGATTTTGCAGCATAATTCTTAGTCCACAAACGTAATATTAAATCAGAGAATTGTCATTAGGCTAGTGTGGCTTCATAGAACATATTCTTGCAAAGAAAATGTATGCTTTGACTTCCCCTTTAATTTTTGATATTCCGGAAAAATACTCTTTGTTCTTCCCCAGGTCCCAGGCTACTCCGAGGAAAGACTCTTCCCTACATCACAGCCTGTCAAGGACGCCATCGGACACGGTCTCTTCCGAGTCTGTGCCTTCAGATCCACCTTCCTCCCAAAAGGGAACCTTAAGCCCTCGCTCGTCTGCATCGGACAACTCCGATTTCAGCCGGGTTCCGTCGCAAAGCGCCACGGAACCCGTCTGCCCAGCACCCAATAAAGATGCCTCTCTTGAAGCTGAGGACAAAGTTCAACAAAGTTCCACCGATGATACCTTTCACAGCAGCGGAGGGGACCGAAGCGACTCTGAGCACAACGCAACCTCGCACCTCAGTGGAGAGGATGGAGGCGCATGCTGTGGGACAGTATTTGACTCTGGAGACAAAGAGCACTGCAATGAGGAACCACACAATGGCAAATTAGAAGGGTCAAATACAGGTGGCGGGGGGACCTATGCTACCCCCATCGACCCGGATGAAACCCCCCTGGTTCCTATGACGCTGTACCTGCACAGGGTCAAGGGGCTCGTGCTGGCCCTGCTGGTGGAGCCTCACTTCTTATGCGACCAAGCTGCCATGGAGGAAGTGGTAAGAAGCAACCCGTTTCATCCACACGTCATCATGCAGGGTCCGACATTGAGCCTTCGAGAGTGCTCGCCCTTCAGCTATGTTGTGATGGGCTTATCAGAAACAATACTGGCGCAGATAATCACGATATAATATGACAAGTCTATGTTATTATTTCAAATTTAATCACTTTATACGGTTTTATTTAGGACTTTAAGAAGGTATTTATTCAAGATTGTGTTGATTTGATCATCATATTTATGAAATCTTTACTAGCCCGGTTGGACCAGCATCTGTAAAGATACATAGTAGCATGAAAATGGCCATATTGGCCAGAGTGGCTCAGGGCCATTGGGCCACCATTAATGTTGGAACCTGTCCAAGGTTGTTATAGTTAACGAAAAGAAATTAAATAACTACAACTAAAATTGACAACATGTTTTTTTATGGAAATAAAAAAAAAAGAAACATTTTTTCTTACTAAAACAAACTACAACTACAATTATAGCGGTCAATTAATATCATCCATAAGCTTTCAGAGTTCATTTATTTCAGTATTACTTTACATTCGTACAGAAGGAAGGTCAGTCATTTGAGAGTTAACCGTGCTTTTATCACACAATATATTGTGACTTAAAAAAGTCTTGCACTCAACAAATACTCCAAATACTGTATTTAAAAAAAAAAAAAACAATACCAAAACTACTAAAAACTAAACGGAGTATTTTTGAAGGAAAAAAAAAGATAAAAACAAACCTGCTCTAAATTAAAATTAACCGAAATTCAACAACAAAAGCCCAAATGAACTCAAAACTAACTGCAGAATAATGAAAAATCCACAACTATTGTAACCCTGTCACATTAAAAGATGATGGCCTCTTTGACAGAGACGACGACAAAGAAGCAAATCTGAATTAAAGAAATGGCGCTTGCGGTTTTGAAAAATTCATGAGTTGCACTGACTTGCCTTTGTGATGCTAATTGCCGGGCTTTGTCAGACAGTCAGCTCTCACTTTATGGTTTGTATCCAGTATCACAGCTGCTTAGCGTCGCTAAACGGCCTGGAGGCCCATCTGAGAAGCATCTCTCCGGGGGCGCCGGGCACCGCAGGACCCTACATCTTCGCCCACTTTGACTGCGCCCAGAGCACGCTAACAAGTGAGGCCTCTTCATTTTCCTTTGGCACATTCTTTGTAATTATCGATTTGCGTTAAAGAGCTTGTGCCGCTCAGGAACTGTGATCAGCATTCCTTTGTGCAGCAGGAAAGCTTGTCCAGGTTAATGTGGCGCTGACACCGTTATTGTGTGTCTGTGTAGCCAACCTGTCTGGTCGACCTGGGGGAGCCCCCGAGCGTCCTTTTGTCAGAGCCGCATCGCTTCTTCACTCGCATTTCTGTAACACTGAAACTCTGCAGGAGGCTATTATCAGGTCAGTATGCCAGTGACGGTAGTGGTTCGGAGTAGCGGGGGTTGGGGGGCCCTTTCGTGGCTCCTTTCACAGAGGGTGGGGGGCAGGGTAAGCATCTGTCATCAAGTCTCTCATCGCAATGCAGCGTTCCCGAACTGATGCTCGTCTCTCATTTGTCTTTTACGGGGGCAATGCCACTGCAGGAACGCCACCACCGCTGTGTACGGGGTTCGCAGCGCGGCCCAGGAGACTTATTTCCTGCAGTACGGCGTCACGCTGAGGAACTCGGGCATCCCCAACCACCAGGACAGCGCATTCTCCTTGCCCAGCAAGGCTCGGCACAGACTCCTCAAACATGGCGTTAACCTGCTCTGACGTGACAGCGCCTCTGCATTTCACAGCAGGACTATTTCTAAGTATTTATAGCCTTTTCAACATGCGTTTTAGTCAACCTGAATGTCAAATATTTACACAGGCTGTTACTGTATTCTCACTCACCTTATTTAAATGATGCTTTGCACTGGAAATAATAATAAACGTATTAAGTCAGCGAGTCACAATTTCAGGTATTGTACATTACTTTGTGGCTTATTTATAATCATGATCTCAGTTCTTCAACGGTGAGCTCACATTTGCCAGACATTTTCCTCATTTTTCTGATAAGAGATCATCAATATATTGATGACACTGACTACATTTACATGCAGTAAATATCAGGGTTCAGATCAAAATTCCGGTTTCTGAAACATTCGGAATAAGTTCTTTTACATGACTGAGTGGAAATCATATTAATTCTATTATAAAAAAAAAACCTCTAAATATGTGGGTCTCTTTATTAAACAGAAAAATATTATTTCACCTCCAATGTTCCTTATACAGTATTAGACAAAACTATATTTGAACCCCATCCGTACTACTGCAATGGAACGCAGTTCAACATTTTTGCTACATTTTCAAAAAAATTTCATGCTCTGCAACAGAGAGCGATACGTATTTTTTGCCCACATTTTTATCTCCCTGGATCATTAAGGTTCCCTGAGCTCAGTATTTACCACAACGCCTGTTTATTGTATCAAGTCATGAATAATTTGGACCCCTCAGCGATCTTATCCCTACTAACTCCTCTCTACATGGACATAACACCAGGAATAAAGACGTCATTGCCGGGAAGAAGTGAAGGCTTAAAACAACCATCATAACTGCTATGTTTTATGGTGCACAGATCTGGAACCGGCTTCAAACCTGCCCAATCTCTCTTCATCTTTAAGAGAACATTAAATGTGTCAGAATCTACTGACTGGGATCAAGCTCCTATTTGTTTTTGTTTGTTTGTGAAGTTTTAGGGTGTTGTTGTTGTTTTGTCTTTTTTTGTGTGTCTCATTCGCACGTGACAGTATGGTTAACTTCAGCTTGACCTCATGGTGGTAAATATGGAACTGTAATATTTAATTGGTGAATTAATTGAATTGCCTTAAATAAGGCAATGCGGAGTATATTTTCCAAATGTTTCTTTTTGTCATCTTTTTTCCAAAAATAGCTTTGGCTGATGTCCCTACAAGTAACTGCTGTCGATGTTTTTCTTTTTATAAGATCCCAACGATTCAATCAGTTAATCAGATCTCAAGGGCGTTTTACTCTACCTATCACTGTCGTTTTTTTTAACATGTGTTTAAGTCTTCTGTGTAGGTTGAAAACAGTAACACGCCTATTTTGACAAAGTACGGATTAGAAAGTCGCAGTTTCCTAAAGTAGGGAGAAAAATGTGTAAAACGTTTTCAGGAAACTAAAGACGTTCGGAAAGTAGACAAAATTCTCCTTGAAACAAGAATGTGTGTGGTTTTGTTACTTGCCACCGTTGACCGATTATTGTGTTGTTTGTTTCAAACGTTAGCTTGATACAAATTAATCCATATCGCCTATTGGTGAGCTGTCCATAATTAGTGGAAGCTGAGAGAAGAGGCGCATGTGAATGATCTGAGCGATTTCTATGCCCATACCGACCTCCAGTGTCCGCAGGCTCCACTTTAACGCCTTGATTTCAAACTTTTCAAAAGCTTGGCGAAAGACGCCGTCGTTTAAAAAGCGCAAACGCATTCTTAGAAAACATCATTCGCGATCTGTCGCTAATTTGTGCGCCTCGCAAACACGGCGATGGTGCAAATATGGAGTAATTGGAGTCATTAGCTAAGTGGCTGAATATGAATGGACCGAGTCGGCGCTCGTCGGGGCGCCTCATTATGCAAGCGCATTAAAAGAAAGCAGCAGGGGGTCAAGTGGGCCCGAACAAAAAGAGGGGCAGGGATCGGGACGACGCTCAGGATTCAAATTCTAAGTGGAAAGTTGTTGCCATTGTGAGTTGGGATATAAAGCAGGCGAGGCATCCAACCCGGCGGAGGAGAGAAGCTGCAGTTCGGAAAAAGAAGGACCACCATGGCCTCCGCACACACCCACCATTGGATTGCTTTACTTCTTATCTCGGTGATTACCAGCGATATGGGAGTACGAGGCCGCGCACTGGACGCGCATGGATTCGTAGCACCGTCGCCGGGGAGGTCGACTGGGTCCCCGAGATCGTCTTTACGCACGGACCTCCTATGGCGCTGGAGGCGAGGGGCCGCGGAGGCACACCGCGAGCGCTGCGCGGAGCTCACGGCGGCCTGGCAGGAAAGCTCCAATCGTAATAGCCGGGATAATTCGACCGTGGTGCGCCTCAGTGTCAAGCCTCTGTCTGCCTCTGGACCTTCCGGGGGTTTGGTGTTCCCAGAGAAGCCACTCTTCAGCTTCGTGCGACGGGTCTATCGGTGTTGTCAGGACGGACTCGACTGCAGGAGCGTCAAAGGGCTCCAGGGCCGTTTAAGACGAGGTAAAACGGTATTGAGGAAGCATTTTCATCGCATTTAGTAAACTAGATTAAAATGTAATCACACATGCAAGCAAAAATTGTTTATTTGACCTATATTTACAATATGTAAAATTCGAGGCCCCGGGGCCGAGATCCAGCATTTTTTTGGCCCACTACTAGAGCAATTAAAGTGGGATTCGTGTTTTTTGCGAAATAGCTTTGTTTTCATGCAAATTGTGTTCCCTTTTAACAGATATAAAAGGCATTTCGTTTCCATCAATGTCTTCTTCACATAAGTAAACAATAGTTTTATACTAGGTAATTGTGTGCCAGGATTCCCGATCTCAAATTGAATCAATTGTTAACAATAATAATCATTTGTATGAAATAATGTGGTGAAGGTGACGTTTTCATAAACATAAGGACCCTCCCCGAGGAAACCCATAACTATGATGTGGTTTGTGACAAAAATGAGTTTGACATCACAGTAATAATTCAAATACTGAATCAGATCAATACATTTTTAATCTATGACTTGTAGGGGAAGAAAAGGCTTACTTATTGTAAAAAATAAATAAATAAATAAATTACCAATGCAAATGAACCGGCGGGCCGCTTGTGGCCCCCAGGCCATACTTTGCCCACCCCACTCCATACGTAGCAGTATTTACATGATGGTGCAGAACCAGGATTTCTTTTATCCGAGTAATCCACTTTTGTCTCCTCAGAAATCAATGTCACCATGAACCAGTACCTTCCCATTGTGAAACAACCATGTAAAATGAGCGAAACGGCTTGCAAGATAATGTTAGCGAAATTATCAAATAAACATGAAAAGACCAAAGCAAATACAAGGGATACGTAACCCAAGCAGAACGGCAGATGTCCTTGCAAGCTTACCTTTTGCATTTTGCCAAGCTGCTTTCTTAAGACATTCTTGCAAAGGCACGTTAATGGTTTGATTAATTCAGTTGTGCACAATGATATCTGCATACAAATGACCCGTAGCAGGCTTAATGTTCTCTCCGAGGCTTGTTGAGATATCCTGCTGACAGATTAACAAGGCATTAGGAGTGAAAACATCACCTCCAGGAAGCTATTCTGCTCCACTGGATCGAGAGTAATGTTGCAAAGATTTGAGCGGTCCATGAAATCAATGAGAATTTGCTCGTCCTCAGGTTCGGATGTAGAGGTGCTCATCACCAGGGAGGTCTTATCATTGAGCATAAAGAGAGCCGAGCTTCACCTTCAGTTTGCAAATCCGCAACAGGTGGACATTCATCCTGCACTTCTGTCCTTGGCAAAGAGCAACCTTCCGACAAGGTAATATGTCACCTGTAAGGATAAACTCTCTTCTTTGGAAGGATGTGTTTGAGGGACTTGTAACAAAGGCGGCATTTTAATTCCTAAATGTCTCTATGTTGTTTCCACTTGCAGATTTATTTCAAAAGCCCACAGTAACACCGTGGAGTTGCGCGTGGATCTGCTGTTCCTTTTCCAGAGACTTCAAGAGGCGGCGGGTGGTCTCGGAAGAGGTCGCCACCTGGTGAACATGCGGAAAGTCATGCTTTCCCCCTCGCATAAAAAACTGGCTTCAGTGGATCTCCAGGACAATGGTGGAGACGTGTGGGGGGAGCTGGGCTTGGCCTTAGGCTGCAGTCGGGACGGAGCTGGCGTGCTCTGCGAAAGCAGCGGGGTTGGCCTCCTCCACGCGCCTTTCATAACCCTCTACTACCTATGAAGTCAAATTGAACAGACCCTGGACTCAAGTCGACCGAGCCTTTCACTTTTGAACTCATCAAATTAAGACTAATCTGAAATTATGCACTTCTTACTCAAATATATTAACTTATAAATGTTATGGTTTGTAGAAATTATATAAATATATATACACACAAGAGCATTTTCATTCTGTGCTTTTTTTTTTTTTGAATACACAGAAGAGCTGATGTCATAAGCAAAGTCATGAAAGCGCTGGCTCACTTTATTGGGGCTTCAGTGGTCTTTGGGCTTGGCCTTAGGCTGCAGTCGGGACGGAGCTGGCGTGCTCTGCGAAAGCAGCGGGGTTGGCCTCCTCCACGCGCCTTTCATAACCCTCTACTACCTATGAAGTCAAATTGAACAGACCCTGGACTCAAGTCGACCGAGCCTTTCACTTTTGAACTCATCAAATTAAGACTAATCTGAAATTATGCACTTCTTACTCAAATATATTAACTTATAAATGTTATGGTTTGTAGAAATTATATAAATATATATACACACAAGAGCATTTTCATTCTGTGCTTTTTTTTTTTGAATACACAGAAGAGCTGATGTCATAAGCAAAGTCATGAAAGCGCTGGCTCACTTTATTGGGGCTTCAGTGGTCTTTGTGCAGCTGCTTGTTCAGTCTGCCGTCACCTTTTCTAGCATGCACAGTTAAAGAGACGTTTTCAGTTGTTGGGGCATGAAAAGACACCTGGACAAACAAAAGCATGTGGAACTTAGTAGTGACCAGGTCCTTGGGAAACTTCTTTAAAAACAGATGAGGGGGGATTTATGGAATTTAAAACAAGGGAAAAAAAATGTCAGAACCAGGATTGTCAAAGCACCCGGAATTCACTTTTGACTTGATGACAGGGTGGAAAAACAGAAGCGACTAGTCTGATAAAATAGCACATTTATTAAAAAGAGACAGCATTTATCAGCATTTTGTCACTTTGCATGGATCACATGTGAGCAAGTGTCGAGAGACTTGAGCACATTTCTCAGTCCGTCTGCTGCTGCCTTCAGGCCTTGCAGGAGAGTTTGTTTATCCAAAACATGTACATGGCATACGGTCGGATCATCCACGGGCCATCTCACGCACTCGCATCGAGGTGGGTGACAGATTTTTGTGCTGTCTGGACGGTGGAGACGTTTGCTGAGGTTTTTCTCTGTAAATTTGTCTCTGTTTCAACAAATTCACCTCACGTGTACTGTACAGTTGATTCGTAAATAACAGAGGAGTGGGGGGCAGGGGCAGGCTGGGACATTCAGCGAAATGGGGTACAGTATATCACAAAATAAACAGACAAACAATGTCCCCTTACAGAATAATTTCAAAGAATGTGATTTGAGGAGAGTGAAAAGATTTCAACATGGCTGGGGTTGACTTCCCTGATTTATTGGATGTTTCATAAGGTAAGCAAAGAATCAGAAAGCTAGGACCCCCGTGTTTAAGAAGATTGCGGATGGAGTGAAGACAAGTCTTTGGTTCTCATATGGAAAGACACAGAGTGGATCTTCATTCCCCTCCGGTGCTTTTATGAGCGCGATGAACTAACAATACCGGGGCCGATGTCTAAAAATAAAATCGGTGCCGGGCGTATGTTTGACAGAAGTCTCCCACGTTCCACATAATTGCTCGTGGAACAAATTGACCAAGTACAAATGAAATTCTGCTGACCGATGAAGCTTCCTTCACTCCAGCAAGAGCTGTTTGCGTGGAGTGATAACTCAGCCAAGAGGAAAAAAGGCTCATGATGGTAAAGCACAATGTATTCGATAATTCAAGGCAACGACAATGACACACAAGGCAGTGCAAAAAGTTCACACCAATAAAATGTTAAAACTATTCCAAGCAAAAGACATCCTGAGGCAACATTTCACACACTAAATCCAAACGCAGAACAACATATCTCCAGATCAGCCCCACTCAGATTTAAATTACACATGATCAAATGGAAGGGCCCCACATTTTCAGAGAAGCTCATTTATATGTTTTCATTACAACCATTTCTTTTGTCTGTCAGTTCAATTTTGTTGTTGTCTCATACTTTGTCCCAACAGCCGTTCCTCTCCTAAAGAAACGTCACGTGTCTCTTAAAGAGAAAGCAAAAACAAAAACAAACAAATAAAGCCCCAACATCTCAGTTCGAACTGAGAAGTGAGGAGCGAACCGTTGAACGAAAATGTGTGATTTCTACCATATATACACACGTGACCACTGCCATTAGCAAATGCTCTGAGTTCAATTTTGAATGATGTTTTTGCACCCTTTCGGACAGGGGAAGAAGATGCTCACGTCTTGCAACAAAGGAAAGAAAATGGCACCACATTATTCTGTGTTCTACTATCAGTCAACGAAAAAAAAAATGAGGAGGAGCAAGGAAGGATCCACAGCACATAAATTTGTAATTGGGTTGGATGCAGGGGGCATTGACATGTTAAGACTTATCAATTGAACATGAAAAAAAAATGCAATGCATTTTTAAGGAGAGGGTTGGGAACACATTTCTTCGAAAATTGTTTGGTCTTGTGCAAGGGCCAAGACTGAAATACAAAGAGGACTCTGGGAATGAGGTCATGGGAATCAAAGTAGTTGCAGAGATTTAAAAAAAAATGTTTGCTCAACAACCACAAATTGCTGAACTAAACCTTAAAGTTCTCATTGGTGTGAAAAAAGGAAAGATAAAAGTAGGCCAGATGTTTTTTAAGACAAGAGGTTTTTTTTTTTTAAAAGGCTGCTGGGAATTCAAAAGGACATGGAGTAAACATTTGTTTGGAACCACCAGTGATGTTGTGCTTTCTTCTTTTCAATGGAATACACTCATGAGCCATTTCAGGGATAGAAGACGGGCGCAATGACGGCCACAGGCTACTTGTGAGAACTCCGTGCCGTTATCAGACAACAAAACTGCATGTTTAACAAACCAAGTCGCAACAGTGAACAAATAATTGCAAGGGAATGCAGACTCCCTCTTGCTTTGCCACAAACTTAGATAAAGTGAGGTCTGATGATGAAATCAATTTTTTTTTAATAGCTACTACCTAGTTCAAAACGTGCAACAATTTCAAATGACACTCATTGGTGAACTCAAAAGCTGGCAAACTAAGGAAAAGACAAGAACGGAGAAATGTAAAGATTGATGTCTTTCCAATGTGTGGATTTTGAAACAGATCCATCCTAATCACCTGACTGCTGCTGAGGAGACTCATGAGGTCTCCAGCTCATGCAAAGTTGTTAGAACATTTACATGTAGTCCATAACCTTGATATCCAGAATAATGTCCATGTACATACACTACACACTTCAGCACACTAGGAGAATGACCGAGCGCACAGGTCGAATGACTGCCTTACTATAGCAACATTTTTTTTCCCAATACTGGTGTCACTTTTGGCCTCACCAGTCCAAACTCGAGGTGTCCTTTGTTGCAAATTATAGACCTATCTCAAACCTTTCCTTCTTAACCACGGTTGTCTAGAAAGTGATTTCATCAACTTCAAATTCTTTAACTCAGAGCGACCTAATTACAACCAGGTTACTGACCTCATCGCAGAACGCAAACAGCTCTTATTAAAGTACTAAATGTTATGAGATTGAACAGTGACGCAGGGAAGGTGTCGGTGCTAATTGTATTGGTGCCGCATTTGATAAAATATACTGTTGAACAGGTTAGAAACTTGAAAGGGTTTAAATGGAACAGTCCTAAAATGGTCCAGGTACCACCTTAAGGAAAGGAGTTACTTGGTGACTACTGGAAGTTGTGAATCTGAATGTACATGACATGTGGCGTCCCTCAAGGGTCAGACCTTTGACCCCTTTTGTTCAGTCTGTAAATGTTACCTTTCGGTCAAATGCTTCACAACGTCAATGTTGGCTGTCATGTTTGTACAGATGACACACAGCTATATTTATTAATGTCCCCAAATGACAGGAGTTCAACATAGAGAGCAAATTAACAGCTGATTGAAACATTTCCTTCAGCTAAACCAAAACAAAACAGATGTCATTGTTTTTGATAATAAAGAGGATTTCTCTTTGAAAACACCCGAAGTCACTGCCTTTAGAAACCAAAGGCCAAGTCTGAAACCTTGGGTCACTGATACGACTCAGACCTGACTTTCAGCACTCATATCAAATAACATCACCAAAACAGCCTTTTTACCAGCTGAAACATATACCGGGTATCCAGACTGAAGGGTTGCATCCTATTAGCAGACTAGGAGAGACTTAACTATGCTTTTATCTCCAGTAGACGATTAGTTTAACGGTCTTCTGACTGTACCCCCTCAAAAGAGAATTATTCAGAAAGCTATAGCTTGGGTTCTGACCAGAACAAGGAGAAGATATTAATCCAGTGCTATAGGCTTGAAAGGGGAAGTCAACTACATAATGTTCCTTGCAGTAATATTTTTGATGCGGCTCTAACAGTCTAAACACGGCATTCTGATTAAGAGCAAAATCCACCGCTTTTTAGCCAACTAAGGGGGCGGCCATTTTGCCACTATCTGTTGATTGAAAATGACATCACAGTTGCTCAAGGCTCAGGTAAGGACCAATCACTGCTCACCTGTTTTCTGAAGCCGAGGCGTGATTGGTCATTACCTGAGCAACTGTGATGTTATTTGGAGTTGACAGCTAGTGACAAAATGGCCGACGCCTGAAATGGACAAAAACGGGTGGATTTTACTGCTTAACTCATATTCCACAAATGCAAGATTCATCAGAATGCCATGTTTAGACTAGCAGTGCTGCATAGAACCTATTATTGTAAAAAAAAAATTTGGGTTGACTTCCCCTTTTAAGCTGGCTCCCAATCAGCTGTAGAATAGTTTTAAAAATTCTGCTACTGGTCGACAAATCACTGAGTGGTTTAGGTGCTGAATCCGTGAAAGACATGCTGTCTGGCTCTGGCCCCACGATTGGCCACACGAGGGTCTCAGCAGGAGCCTATCCCAGCTGTCTTCACGCAGTACGCTGGGTACTCCCTGAACTGGTTGCCAAGCGATTAGAAAATAGATAGCTGGATTGATGTAAGGCTCTGAGATCTGCAGACTTGGGTCAATTAGTGGAGCCCAGAGTTCAAAGTAAACATGGTGAAGCGCCATGTACCTGTTCTTCTGCAAACAAATGGAATAAGATAATAATAAGATATCCTTTATTTGTCCCACACTGGGGAAATTTACAGTCTACAACATACCAAAATAAGTGAGGTCAGTCCCAAGTGTAACTGCTTTCAAGGTTCTTTCAATGTTTTAAGTTTTTTGTTTAAATTTCTTTTATTTTAGAAACCTACTCATTTCTTTACTTTAAAATGTCAAAACTTTTTAGTTCATGTATTTAAATGTTGTCAATGTACTTTCAGCATTTTCTGTAAGCTACTTTTGTTTTTCTCCCGTTTGGTTCTGAATGTCGTTAACTGTTGTGTTTGTAAATGCTTGTCTGGGCTGTGTCTGCTTGAGTGAAGCACACTGAGTTGCCTTGTGTTTGAAATGTGCCTTATAAACAAAGCTGCCTAGTGAGAACAAAGCGCGTAGAAGCACATGGACTTTAAGATGGATATTAAATCTATTGAATATGAATGCACACAGGGCTTTCTACATCATGTGAGATTACGCCACACATACAATGGACTAATTCGACACAGAAAGGCAAGTAGCCAAAACGATGGCTATATTTCCACATAGTTCATCTTGTGGTTTATTCCGTATGGAGCCTGTTTCTAATCCCACGTATGGCCAGATGATGAGGAGTGTGTCAGACAAAGTGTGGCTTTCCCCATGCTGCGTGCAAAATACTGAAAAGTTGGTACAGCGGCCCCCGGGGAAGAACGCTAAGCGTGTGTTTGCTGAGCTCAGACTTTTGAAGACTTCATCTGGGATAGGAAATGGATGAAGGATGTCGTTCAAAGTGGAGAGCAGAAGGTGGAAGGCAAACATTCACCCTGCTCGCCTTCTCTCTTGCCTCCTCCTGCACTTATTGTCCTCCATGGTCCAGATTCCCTCCGAGTCACATGTATGATTTACCTCCTCGAAACGCCCGCCTCCCACCCTCCCCTCACCTGTCGTGTCCGTCCAGTCATCTCACAGCCGACAGAGACAGAACAAAGTGGGGATGAAGACGCCAAACGCCACCAGGATGGGGAACATTAGGCTGCTGTTGTCGGCAGCGTAGGGGTTCGGCGTTCGGGGTCCCGATTGGACCCTGGGCTTAGAATCCGGCGGGAGCTTCTTCTTGCCTCCATCGTCCCCTGCCTCTCCATCTTCCTCTTCTTCCTCCTCTTCCTCGTGCTTCTCCAAGCCAGGGTGAGGCTGGAGTTTTGGTACATCTTTTCACAAGAAAAGGAGCGACATAGAAAAGTGAGGTTCATTTTGTGGAAGTTTCAGTGCCAGTTCAATTCCCGTTTGGGGGAATATAATAGAAGTACACATGAACAAAATTGTTGGTGACACTTTTTAAATGAAAGAAAAACAGACAGTGTTCACAGAAAGAACTTCATAAAACGTATTGAAAATTCACCTATGAAAATCAGACATTGCTTTTGACATGTGGTTCAACAGAAAAAAAACCCTCATGAAAAAATAATTTGGCAAGCTTCAATCAAGGTGTGTCCTCTAATTAGCATCGTCGGTGCCTTCAAAGTTGTAATGAGTCAGGCGGACTTTTTAAAGGTTGAAGTAAAAGTAGTCACTGTACTGTTAGGTGATGTGGTGTGTACCACACTAAACATGGGCCAGGTGAAGCGAATGAAAGCGTTGATTCAGGAGATTACAAACATAGACAAGAATGCTAAAGGTAGAGCCTATGAGACCGTCCCCAAGCAGCTTGACGTTCCTGCAGTTGCACATATTTAGAACTTTAAAATAAATCCATGGGGCTGTAGCCAAACTTAATAGATGTGGCTGCAGAAGAAAACTGATGACAAATTAAAAAGAAGGATAATACGAATGGTAACAAAGCCCAGAACAACCTCCAATGAAATTAAAGGTGAACTTCAAGGTCAAGGATCTGATACTTATGTGTACGATTGCACCATCTGCTGTCATTTCAGTGAAAGTGGACTTCGTAAGAGACAACCAAGGATGATAGAGAGAGACTGCATTTTGACAAACTGCATGTTGACAAGCAACAAAGCCTCTGTGAGAATCCCCTCTGAGAAGACAGGACCAAATTGGAGCATTTTGGCAAAGGCACATCACCGTCGTTTTTGTCCTGGGTCGTTTCATGACTCCCCCCACCCCCCCAATATTCTGTTGTACTTTAATTCAAAAGCAATATCTGATTTTTATTGGCGAATTCTCATGACATTTAGATGTAGTCTTACTTTTGTCAGATTAAAGTTCTTTTTCTGTGACCACTGGGGTTCCAACAATTTTGTTCAAATGTGTACATTAAACAGCAAATGAATCATCTACAATAAGAATCTGAAAAAAAAAAAACTACCTTCTGGTGTTCCCTTCATTACATAGAGGGCGCAGACCTTTGGGTTATCATAATAGCCCTGAAATACAGAACAGATCCAACAAAGTCATCACACAAGAGGCAACGTTATCTTTTGCTTGAGAAATCACTTTGCTAGGTTGTTTCGAATGACACATAGCTCCACAAATATGACCTCTGTGTGGATGAAGGACAAAACGATCAGGACTTCAGAGGTCAAAACCTTGACTAATGTTACCGATGAAAGGTTGACCCACTTGTACAGTGGAACCAAATTCGATGAAAGTAATATGCAAATTTCCAAGAAGTCCTCCAGCTATCGGCACATGGGAAGAACGAAAGCTTTTTGTCACGCTGCCGTCCTGTGATCGACAGATACAAAGTCCTTCATTGGTTGGCCCACCATAAATCCCTTTGAAATCGAAGCCTCGGGCAAGCTGGACACCATTTGTCGCTTGTTCTCAAACTTAAAGGCTGTCTCCTCAGCGCTAAGATTAGCCTAGTATGCATATGGCGCACAAGACATCTTTACTCTGATTGCAAGTCCAGCAGATAAAGAGCAAATTCACTCTTAAAGTTGTGCCGATGTAATATTCATGTCAAAATGCAGCGAAGTTCAAAACTTAAATACAATTTGACTGGCTTTAATAAAAATAGTGTGTCTTTGAGTGCTTGCCCACTCAAAGTGTGAAATCAAATCAAGTAAATCTTGAGTAACAGTGGTTTGTAAAAGTGTCGGTCCCCCATGAACGTTTTGCCACGTTTCAGGCTTCAAACGAAGATATAAAATTAGATTTTTCTTTGTGACGATTCAACACCTAACCCCAGACCATGATAATGCCACCCCATCACCATGTTTGACGGTGGGGGTTATGTGCAGTGTTACTTTTACGCCAAACGGAACATTTCGCACCTTTTTCCACGTTTGTTGTGTCTCCTAGATGGCTTATGGTAAACTTCAAATGGGACTTTTTATATATTTTTTTGAGAAATGGCTTTCTTCCTCCCTCTCTTGCATAAAGGCCAGATTTGTGCAGCGCGCGATTCATAATTTCCTATGGACAGATTCCCCCAATTTCATTGTGGATCATCTGGAATAATCATGGGCATCTTGGCTGCATCTCTGATAAGCGCTCTGCTTTGTTTGAACTCAAAGTTTTGAGGGACGGCTGTGTCTTGACCTTTGGTAGGTTTGCGGTGGTCTCATACTCTTTATTTTAATATAATTTCTTGAACAGTGCTCCCCGAGATGTTTTAAAGTGGTGAAATCTTTTTATATCCGAAAGCTGCTTTAAAGTTCTTCACAACAGTAGCCCAGATCTGTCCAGAGTGTTCCTTGGTCTTTATGACGCTATTTGCACGAGTCACTCGTTATCATAATCAGTCATTTAGCTTAACATTGGATCATTCTGAAACCTGGGAACTTCTGGAATGAATTGGCGGCACAGACAGTAAAGGGACCAAAAAAATATTGCACGCTGCACTTTGTTTAGTTAAAAAAGAAAAAAAAGGTTACAATCTATGAATTTTGTTCCACTTCACAATTGTCTCCCAAATTCAAAAAGTTTGGCATGGATACTTTTTCAAGCCACTGTAGATGGAAATGGAGTGAGTATGTTAAGTGTGATAATTCTTCATCCTCACTGTTGCAGCAAGAAAAAAGAACTGTGCGTTGTGAACTCAGACAATCCCCAAAGGCAAACCATTTTCCTTGGTCCGTCCAACTTGGAACAGGTGATCCATGTTTTTATTGCATCTAGTTATGATTCCTGCAATGCCGTATTCTGGAATCTTCAGAAAACCATTTAGCACTGACAAGAGTTGATCCAAAACGCTGGCTCAAGGCTTTGAACCTCCATAAAAAACACTTGAGCACATCATACCAGTCCTTCCTGCCCTTTACTAGCTACTGTACCTGTCATTGTTATTTTTGAGTGTTCACACTCCTGCTTATATTTTGGAGCTGTCAAAACCATGAGCCTGAGAACTTGGCATGGTCATTGAGGTCTTGACACACAGCCTCTAAACCCTGTCTGCTCTTTGATGGCAACGGAGCCTACGTGGTTCAAGTTCCAAGATTATGGAACTCTCCCAAGTGACCCAAGACAGCCTACATCACGGTCCTCTCTTCTAAAAGCTCACTTATTGGGTTCAAAGTTTATCCCCCCCGACAAACTGAATTATATGACACTTGGCAAAGAAATAAAGTTCCATTATCATGTTGTTATTATAATATAGTGGTACCTTGACTTATGAATACCCCACCTTAAGGGTTTTTAAATTATGGCTTGGTCTTTTTTAAATTTTTTATTTTTTATGAACAATCCTTTAAATTATGGCTTGGTCTTTTTTAAATTTTTTATGAACAATCGTTTCGATACAGTGCTGTTCAAGTCAAGTCAGGAAAAAAATTTAATCATGTAATGCCCTCACATGTGGGCAAGGAGAGCATGTCACCAATGCACTTTGAGTCGTTTATTGAACAAGACAGTCAAACACACAAATAGATGAAATCACTCACTAGATCACACCCTTTAAAAGGATGAATTACACACATTCAGTAATTACACTTCATGAAACCAATAGATTTAAATTCACTTTAATTAGGTTTTTATACAACAGCGTTATTTTCCTTACCCCAAAAAAAAAATTGCAGCTGGAACAGATTACTGGCATTTTAACTTACTTCAATTGGAAAAATTAAATAAACTGGAGTTATAAGTCACAGTACCACTATATAAACTGCTTTTTCAAGTGTTTCTGGTCACACTGAACTCACCTTTACAAACTCCACCGTGAGCTTCCCGTTAAATGTGGACACCTCTCCTTGCACACTCAGCTTGCCACGTCGAATGGAGAAGGCCACTATTTCATCGTGCGCTGTACTGTGACCCACTCGATCAAAGATATCCAGGTCCTTCACCACCACGTGGCCGTTTAGCCGAACATCAAACACCTGTTAAACCACGATGTGTGACTTGGGACATTTTTTACATTGATTGAACATGAAACAATTAATGGCAATGGTCAACAACTTTTAATCGGAGAGGGCTTACTGTACCATTAAAGGTATTTTGATGTTAATTAAAAACATGTCTACCTTTTTTTCTAGCATGTCAAGTTCGGGAGATATTTTCATTGTTTTTAAGTTTGAACTTTAAAAACTTTCACAATACAGATTTTAATGACCCAAATAATCACCTAAACGTTTTTTTATTGCTTTTGTAACAAAAACTTCAACCAGATGGGTGAACAAGTAAACGAAAGGAAAAAAACGAACAAATAAAAAAATACCACCATGTTTTTTTCTTGTTAACAAAAACTTCAACCAGATGGGTGAACAAGTAAATGAAAGGAAAAAAACCTTACCAAAAATACTGTAAAACAACTTTTAATTACGCTGTGTGGCTGACAAGACGTAGAGTCTTTTCTCCACCAAGCGAGAGTGTGTCACACGCTGTACCGGCTGCTAATCTGAACTGGGTTGCCAAATTGCTTTGCTTTTGTCTCTCGACACAGCATGTTCATGGATACTCGTTTACAATCATGTGGGAATTTATTTCCATGAGGTTTTCAAAAATAAAACCTGAGTGAAAGAAAAAAAAAACATATCTTATAAATTCAAGTTTATCAATTTGATATTAATAATGTTTAAAAATAATCCTATGAGAATTTCAAAAGTGAAAATGTAACAAATTAATTTGTAGATAAGTTCAGACGAGGTCACCCCAAAAATATCTGTTTAGCACAGTGGTTCTTAACCTGGGTTCGATCGAACCCCAAGGGTTCGTTGAGTCGGGTCTCAGGGGTTCGGCGGAGCCTCTCAGGTTAAGACACACCCGACTCACCATGTCAATTAGTTATGATACGCCCGCTGCAGATGATCACATTACATTGCTTGTCCAATCAGTGCTGCGGGAAATTTGGTTCACTCAGTAGTCAACGTGTGACTGTCGTGATAGTACGTCATGCACGGTCCATTTTCTGCACAATTAAAAAAACTTATACTTGTGTCTTGAAATTGTATTTTTTTTCAGTTTTTAATAAATGTGTTTTTTTTATGTCTTGAATTTGTAAAAAATCTTATTTTTATTTGTCACTAATGAAGGGTTCGATGAATGTGCATTTGAACTCGTTGGGTTCAGTACCTCCAACAAGGTTAAGAACCACTGGTTGAGCATCTCCATTTCAACCAATAGGCCCACATGTGGGGGAAAAAAAAAAATCTAAGGTGGCAAGGGTTGTTTCGACATCTTTCATTTAACACTGAACCAATTCTTCAGTGTAGAAGATTTTTGAAGCTATAGTATATTTATTTTTACGTACTGTATTGCGTACAGTGTGGCAGCTACTGGATACAGTAATACATCAATGATTTCTCATGATTTGCCGGTGGGCCTATCAAATGATGACTGATTGGATGAAAACAAGGAAATGAGAGATGAGAACAAAGGTCTTCTGTTGCCGTGCCTTGTCACTATGCGTAGAAGGTTAGAAGACGTGTCAAATGTTATTTAGTCTGTGCTCCAAGCTGCTAAAAATTAATGGGTGTAGCGTGGACGCCCGAAATGAATCGATATTCAGAATTGTTTGGTACTGTACCAGAAACCGCAATCGGAATTGTTCAAATTCAAACAATGCCCAACCCGACGCCATGTTTTGTTCTCGGTCATTTGTACACCTGTCAGTGATCACTTAATGGAACGTAATGACATGTATTTCATGCTCGAGTCGAGAATGTAACCAGTGGGTGAAACGAAAGGATAGTGTGATGGATGTAGGTAAAAAGAGCACAGCTAAAGATTTAAAAAAAAAAAAAAAATGGTTGTTGGAAATTCTTATTGACTGCTCACTTTAGAGATTCATCAGCCACATTGGCTGGTGAGCAGAAAAGTTTATGTAGAACCCTGGTTGTAATTTATAGCTATGACTATAATACCACCTATTGCCGAACCGAACCCATTTTGCCTTGTACTGGCTTGTGCTGACGACTGAAGATGACATCACAGAGCCTCAAGACTTTGCTTGCAAATGTCACATGACCAAACCCAGGAAACAGGTGAATTGAGCCGTTAGGCACTGTGATGTCATTTTCAGTGAACAGAAAATGGCAGGTGAAGACAAAAAAAAAACAAACCCGATATAGTCCCAAAATGCAACAATGCTAAATATATTACAATATTATCATTATTTATTGACCTGTGGGATGCCTTCATGATTACCTTTTGCTGTGACTGGGCAAAGTAAACTTCTGCATACTTCATTACGAGTATATAGTCGCCTTCCTCACGTATTGGGATGTCATATCCAAAAGTGTCTTCATTGTAGCGCTCTGTCTGGTACAGAACTTGATCTTCCGGACTGGAGCGCAGGATCGGCAAACGCATCCCATAGTCGGAGGCTACAAAGAAAAATAAAACCATATTTGCACTCAGAAACGTTAATACATTGCTGCAGTCAATGGAGCATGTTGACAGTTTTGACAGTTTTGAATCTATAGAAGTGCCATACTACGTGTGTGCTCGCCCTGACCATTCTGGACTTGCTTTAAACCCTTCTGTCTCAAATGACAAGCTAGAACAGAGTTTGCACCCTTTATTGTTGTGACCAGTGCTGAAGCACAAAAATGTTCTGCTAGATGGGACAATGTGATCAGCACCCGCTTTTTTGCATACTTGACAGACACCGGAGAGGGAGGGGGGATGGCAGGGGTTCAATGTACTGTATTGCTGATTCCTCATTATTCTGTAGCTATTTGCAGAAGCTACACCATGTGGATGTTCCTTCTCTTACATTGGGCAACAGCTTGTACATGTGCGTCACTCTAAGCCACCATGACACTAGATTCACAACAAACTGATAATATTACCCTCGATTTACTGTTGTTAATGCCTTTCAAGGGAACCCAGGACGCTTACCATTAACACATGGAAAGTTACAATGTTTCCTATGTTTGCGGAGGAGTATGGCCACAAGCTTGTATAGCTGCCAGGCTTTGTAGCAAACAGCAACGTGGTGGAAGATTCAAGTTGCGGTCTGACTGGCGTGTGAGGTTGGTGCAGGGCAGAGTAGTAAACTCCTAAAGGTGACGCAGACAAAAGGCCTGGATTGCTACATGCAGTTAGCTACACGGAAGTTAACAACTGATAAGCTGGTAACGGCTCGCTGCTCAATTACTGTCGGGCGGAAACCCTTCATGTCAAACAATAGTTAATTTAATGTTTTCTCTCAAACCGATGCTTTTTTGGCCTGCTCCCATTTCATTCGTTATTTGTACTCAAGATTAACCAATTTTCAGGGTTGAAAATGGCTTGAGAACAACTATATTAACACTCCCGAATGCTCAAAACGTCTGTAGTGTTGTAAAATTCTGCCACTTCCTTCGGTCTGCAGAAACCATGCGGCCTCATTGCTGCCTATATTAAAAGTCTGCATGTTATTTAAACAAGTGAAAATAGTAAGATTAGATACATTTCAATAGGTTTGGTTCGTTAAATCCACTGAAATGATCGGAATTCTAGTTTTATTTATTAGCAGAGGCTGAAAAAAATATTTTATTTAGAAGAGTGACTGGATTCTCTCTGTTACATCCGTCTGACTGACGCATGACGCATGTCAAGATGCTTATTGTCTCGGTCACGTAATGCTTATATTAAATTCACAAGCTAACAAAATTTGTAGAAAAAAAAAGACATATTTGAAAAGTTTCTTTGCAACAGGGAAACGGCCCAGTGAGGATTCAACACAGTAGCTTGTGCCCAAAAAGAAAAAGATGCATTTCACAGATAATACCAGGTGAGTACAAGTGATTCCCATTCAAAGCACCAATCCTGCTCTGCAAAATATGTGGCGAGTGGCTCTTAAATCAAACCAAAATACAGACAAATTAAAGCTGAAAGTCTGGAGTTAAAATAAAATAGTTTCATTTCAATTCCATTGTGCTGGTATTTAGAGCCATAAACTGAGAATATCTATGTACCTGACTAACACCTCATCAGTGAAGTGTGGTGGTAGTAATGCAATGGTTCAGAATCATATGTAGGGTTCATGTAATTTAATGTAAAGTAAAGCAGTTTTGTTCTTCTGTGCCAGCGACCTGTTGGAAGGCATAACAATCAAATGCTCTTCAACTAGATGCCAAAAAGTACACAAGTTACCTGTGTATAGCCGCTTTTTGTAAGATCTTTGTTTAGTGGTGTGCCATGAGATTTTCCTACTGTAAAATACGACTGCTTGGCTTAATTAATGAATGTGGTAAGCACCAAGGTACCATCTGTATTTTTTGGCTTCCAATACGGCAAAATAGACCCACGGTGTATTCGCTACACTCTATTATTGTTACGTTTTAACAATTTGTAGCTTTTATTTTATTGCTTTATTTGCACTAGTTTGATTACCTTAATACTGTGCATGTGGGGTCATGCTAATACGTTATTACAGATGACTCACCTTTACCGAGTTTGCCTTCCAAAGGGTCCTTTTTGAAGTGAATACCGTGCACGTCTACGTGCGATTCCCCTCCTGCATTGACAGCCCAGATCACCCTTTCGGTCAAGCTGGGGGGGCCGCCGCCGCCGTCCGCCCAACACTGCACAAACAGCACGGACAGCACCGCTGCAACCAGCCCGGCGAAGAGCTGCGCCGTGAGCCGCTGCATCGCCACACACACTCCCGGTCTTCAATACGGGAAAGGCACTGTCAAAGGGGCCACAGTTTCAGTCCATAACGTCCGAGATTAGCAGGTCTTCAAAGTGAGCTAGCAAGCCTGACGTGATGACATGCATGCAATATGATCGAAGTTGGCTAGCCAGGATGCTAGCAGTAGCAAGAAAGAACACACGACAGCAAAAACATTCACAATTATTAAAGACGTAGATGAATACGTTCATATCATTATTATACGTGCCAGTAATTTTATCGGAATAGCAACCAAAATAAGATTAACAGTCGCCAGTTATGCTAGCTAGCGTACCTGTCTAACCAGAAATACGTGGTCTACTACAGAAGGGGCTACCATGTGTCTTACCTTTTCCTCGGAAACGCGGAAATGTGATCAAAGTGAATGCCAAGCACTAGTGATACAGTCTCACTGGATATATACACTGACGGATAATTTCAGTGGTGAAAGCGTTCATATACTGGCAGATGGTGGAGGTCTCAGTCTGGAACACTTGACGACTTTCATTCAAAGTGTGTGTATCTACACTGGCTGCTAGCGGCAGTGCAACGTAACCGGCAAGTGAGTGACACATATTTTGACCAATCGCATTTCACAGGCTGGCTCAACGACGCCCTTCAAGGCTACGATCGAACACGAAACCCGAGGCATGTTTTCTAAATGTGCTATGTATATATGCTTATGAAGTCACCCATATTTGTGTTTCAGAAAATAGTTTTTAAGTGAGAAAAACTATGATAATCGTAATTTAAATCATCCCGTAATATTATACGCGTGGCCTTGACGTTTCGCCACGCCCCCATTTTCCGGTTCGTACATTCGTTCCGTGTATGGTTGAGCTTTTGTCCAATCAGAAGGGTCCAACGCAGCTCGCTACACAAGAGGGTCGGGCAAAGTGGAGCGACCAAACAAGTTACCATGGTGACATTTAATCAGTGCCACAGATGACAAATTCCTCACCGTGGAGTTTTATTAAACACGCCGTTGGTCAGCATATGTGGTAAAACCTTATAATGAAGCAAACACAGGGTAACGTAACAACAGATGACATTTATATAGCTAGCAAACACAGTGAAATTGTTTTCACAAGGTTAATACTTTGGGTAAACATTTCTTACTCTTTCTGTATACACTTTTCTCCAAGTGACATCTGCTCAAAATGCAAATGTATTTAGTCTATGGAAGACATTTGAGTTAGCTTATCCTTTCTGTGAAATGACACAAAATGCACTATAAACAATTCAACGGGTAAGAGGGTGGCCATTTATGACATCATTTTCTACAATTATACCATTTGTTTATGATTTTTATGATGACAAAATGGAAATCAAATTTTGTAGGACCTCAGGCTGTAATATTAAAGTTTGGTTTAGATTGGCTGTGCTTAAAAAACTAGCACATTTGAGCAGAATATTTGAAAATTTATGTTTTCATCCAAATTTTGATGAGTAAACTTCATCCAAATCCACAGCATCTACTGGACCCATCCATCCATCCATTCATCCATTTTCTGAGCAGCTCATCCTCACAAGGGTCACAAGGGTCTTTGGGCAGTAGGACACCCTGAACTGGTTGCCAACTAATTGCAAGGCACACACAGACAATTTAGAGGAAAGGGGGAAAAAAATTGGTCTCAGATGCTGGTCTGATATTTGGCATAGGTCTGAACTGTTCTTGCCGAAGATAAGTGGCAAGCTACAGAGGCGACTCCATTTTCAAATAGGAAAACTTACGGCACACATTACTGCATTTATGATTCAAGGTGAAGGAAGCAGTATTATTGCATCACACAATCACAAATCCACCCATAAAAAAGGGCTTGAATACAATGACATTTATTTTGCACAATCCACTTGGCAAAATGTTTATACAGCATTTATTCTACTTTGTACGAGCCCAAAATCCAAATGTGCGTTTGGCACACAATTCTCTCTTTGGCATGCATAGAATTTGCTTCAACAACACAGATTTGAGAGACTTTTCACAATTACAATCATATTGACACTGACATTCACTACTGCTCACACGTCATTCCAACATTGTGTGTTACCAAAGCTAGGTTGACAACTCAGGAAATTTGAGCCTGTGAGCAATGGAATTATTGTGAAAATGTGAAATGTGAAAATGTTCTAAACTCACTGTAGCACATGCTGAAACCCACAACAGGATGGAGATGGCGTGAACTTTGGTTGTCTAGATTTCAGCTTTAACAGGAACTCAAGATCCAAGAGGTACTTTGTAGCAACTGCTTTGTGGTCTGATTACAGGAATAACATTCATGCTAAGTAGCTCACGGTTCGTTTTTTGTACATTTCGTGTGACTGTCTGTCTGAGTGATGCTATAGCACTAGACTGGCATAGTGACAAATGACCAGCTGGTCACACACAGGTTTGATACAGATGTACTTTGTGGTATTGCTACAGGGGCTCCCAAGTGGGGCACCAATGTCACAGAAAGGACTTCTCACATATACATTTTTCATTCAATAAATGGTCTACACATTTAACAACCCACTCAGTCTTTAAAGTTGTATCTACAAGGAATTATTGTCATACCTTGCCTTCATCCAACCTATAACAGAAGGCAATATTTTGAAAGTATTTTCTAATAATGTCCCCATGGAGAAGATGAGACATAAAACCAGCAATCTATGCACACAAGACATGATTAAGTGAGAGTTAAAGTGCAAAAACAAATGTACAATCGTTAGCTAAGCTACAGCTAGTTCTGCCTCAGTAGGACTGGAGACATTTCAGGAAGAACACTTGTTGATTGAAAGTTTGAGGTGACTCTTCACTCCAGAACATTCAAGGGGTTGAAATTCCAGTATCAGTCAAAATTTGAATGGCTCAGAAAACTTAACGTCTCCTCTTCTCAACTCGATCAAGTATGGCGCGGGGTGAGGCTTCTCATCCAAGAGTGTTCATTCTATGATCTCAACGTGACATCATTCGTACAAATTCTGCATGGAGAAGAGAGTAGAAGACTCATGGTGTCAGCTGCAAGTACATCAGTTAGCATCATTGATTATGAATATTTCAACCAAGTGTTTTTACCTTCAAAGTCAACGAGCCCATCTCCATTCAAATCAACCTCCCGCAGAATATCCTCCACTTCATTCAGACCCACCTGGAAAATAGGTTGCAGCAGTTAGCGGAGCAAAGTTGTGTGGTGGACATCTCTTAAAGAAGACTCCGTGTTACTGTAGATGTCTTCCAAATCGTACCTGATGGCCCAGAAGCTTACGCATTGCATCTCGCAGCTCAGACGTACTTATTGCACCGTCTCCATTTGTGTCAAACTAGCAAAGCAGAAAATGCAGGGGAGCACATTTTTGAGCAGGCAATTCGACAAACTAATTGAGAAAAGAGACATTCTTACTTCTCTAAAGGCATCTTTTAATTCCTTTATTCCTATCATGTCTGCAGTTTCGGCGAGGAGTTTTGGACCCATCAATTGGACAAAATCTTCAAAATCAACATGACCGCCCACTAAAGAAAAACACCAACATAAAATCAATAAAGCTATGATTGCACAGCAACAAATAACTAATATCATACAAACCAGGTAGTTCTTACAGTTCATATTTATCTGCTGGCTCAATTCGATCAGCTCCATTTCAGTAGGCATGTATCCCATAGTTCTCATGCAGTTTCCAAGGTCTTTACAGCTGATAAAACCATCCTTGTCCTTGTCAAACTCTTTAAATGCGTCCCGCAACTCTGTTCAGCAAAGACAAATGTGCAAAAGTGACTACAAAACCGTGCTCATCATGTCCAATGCTTTTGTTTCACTCCTTGGGCATTAAGTTCTTGGTGACTCATTGTTGAGGGAAAATCAACTTACCATCCATTTCCTCTGGACGTAGCTCTCTGTCCTGGTGAGAAAACACAATAAATCATTTGTCAGTACAAGGAAAAAAACCCAAAAAACAACCATAATTGATGCCCAAACAAAGAGCAGCATTGATCTACATAAAAGAGAAGAAACGATTTCATGTTTGAATGGGCTCTTTTGCCGATAATCACACACCACCACAACAGTGTTAACAAAAGAATGTGAACCTGTGTTTCTATTCCCCCCCCCAATGCTTTCTTACAATGAACGCAACCTTTAAAGGGCAGGGACAGCGGCAGACATATCCCAGAAGCCTCAGGGGTTAACAGCAGAAGGAGCGTGGAGTCTAAACACAACATTGTGCCTTGACGTCAGATCTAAAGATCTGACGACTGGAGGAGCTGGAAACAACTTAGACTCAAGAACGCAAGGAACACAAGCAGACAATTGAATATGTATTATCAGCACTTCCTGTCATCCTGACTGTCAGGTCATCAAACATCAGCACAATCAGTGATAGCAAACTGTTCTCTACTTGCTCACATGCAATGCATTGCAAGATGTATTCAGATACAGACGTCACAATGAAAGAGGGTCTACATAACGTTAGTATCACAAATGATCACTTTTAATTTTGAGATACAGGGCCGTGAAAAAGTATTTGGCCCCTTCCTGATTTCTGTGTTCTTTGCATATTTATCACGCACAAAGATTTCTGGTCATCAAACCAATTTTAATATCACATGGCGACAACCCAAGGAAATACAAAATGCAGTTTTTAAATGCCAAATTAATTTATTTAGACACACAAAAAAATCCAAAGTTACCTGGCCCGATGTGAAAAAGTATTGCTCCCTGAATCTAATAATGGGTTGTGCCACCCTTGGCAGCAACAACTGAAATGAAGCGTTTACGATAATTGGTGATGAGTCTTTCACATCACTGTGGAGGAATGTTGGCCCACTCTTCTTCGCAGGTTTGCTTCAACTCCGCCATACTGGAAGGTTTTCTAACATGAACTGCCCATTTAAGGTAACGTTACAGCATGACAATTGGATTCAAATCTGGACTTCACTTAGGCACTCTAAAACCTTAATTTTTTTTTTTTTTAAAGCCATTCAGACGTGGACTTTCTGGTGTGCTTTGGATCATTGTCCTGCTGCATGATCCAAGAGTGCTTCAGTTTGAGCGCACCAACTGATTGTCGGACGTTCTCCTTCAGGATCTTCTGGTATACAGCAGAATTCATCGTTCCATCAATCATAGTAAGTTGTCCTGGTCCCGAGGGAGCAAAGCAGCCACAGACCATCACACTGCCACCACCATGCTTCACGGTTGGCATAATGTTCTTTACATCAAATGCTGTGCCATTTTTACCCGAGACGTAACAGGCCCCACATCTTCCAAAAAGCTCAATTTTTGACTCATCAGTCCACAAACTGTTTTTCCAAAAGTCTTGAGGATTATCAAGATGTCTTTTGGCAAATGTGAGACGAGCCTTTGTGTTCTTTTTGGATAACAGTGGTTTTCACCTGGGAACTCTCCCATGGATGCCATTTTTGGCCAGTGTCTTTCTTATGGTACAGTCGTGAAGACTGACCTGAACTGAGGCCAGCGAGGTCGAGAGTTCTTGTTCTAAGTTCTTTTGCAACCTCCTGGATGAGTCTTGGAGCAATTTTAGCTGGTCGACCACTCCTGGGAATGTTTACCACTCTTCCCAATTTTATCCATTTGTGGATGATGTCTCTGAGAATGGTTCGCTGGAGTGCCAGAATCTTGGAAATGGCTTTACAACCTTTTCCAGACTGATAGATTTCAATTACTTTTTTTCAAATTTCTTTTTAAATGTACTGTATCTGGATTGTGGCATGATGCGCTTGTTTCTTGAGATCTTGTAGCCGACTTCACTTTTTCTGACAGATTCTATTTACGTGATTTCTTGATTCAACACGTGGTGCTATGGTGGTGCCTGTGAAATTTAACTCAGCTTACTTTTGGGGTAATTATTTTTTACATAGGGACAGCTAGTTTTGGATTTTTTTTTGTACTTTAATAGATTAAATTTGACAAACTTTGTGTGGTTGCGCAACTGCATTGATTTCCTTTACAAACTAAATGCATTGATAAAATGTAGAATCAATTCTAATATGCCATAACTCATGTTATTATGGGGAAAAATGTCGAACGGAAATCATCCATTGCATACAAAACAATACAAATAAATGACTAATATACAATATTCACTTAATTATTTAACATATTGGTGTAGTGTAGGCCAAATGCTAAAAGCATTACTTCGTTTTTATTTACTTGTGCATGCATTTTTAGCATTTAGCCTACATTTTATAAATACTTCTGACAGTAAAAAAGGAGCCTGCTTGGACAATGGGACCCGAGATTTAGCAGCCAACTCAACTACAGGTCACCAGATTGGCAAGCGGTGTTTTCTGTCAGAGAACGAGGACAAGCGAGACACATGGTGCGTGTTTCCGTCAGTCAGTAAATTCAGCAACAAAAGCATATGGAAACACTGGGCAAGAACTGCTACAAGGGAATATGTAATTTGATTGATTGGTAGCATCACAGAAGTAGAGATAAAGCAGAAAAGCACTGCAGCTCAATGTTGCCCATTAAAGGCATCTGAAAACAGACAGACATGTCTATTTAATCCATCTGTGTTGACTTACAAGGCAGAGAGAAGCAGGAGAGGGAAAAATAAATTTCCAGGACAACTGAAGGTTTTCCAGGACATTTGAATTTTTTTTCTCATTTTCCATGTGTTTTCCATGACTAAAAATTGAGGAATCATTGTCCAGGTTTTCCAGGACACGTGGGAACCCTGATGTAGTCTGCAATGAACTCCAAATTAGACTCAAGATAGCCTGCTTGGCTCACCTCCTTACTGAACAAAATGTGTTTACATCTCATGTTCGTACTGTATCTTCAAGCATCATTTGGGAGATGGAGTGCAACAGTTTATCTGTTTATTGGACTCTCTTGTCGTGATTGTCAGTGAGTTGTGTAAGAAAGCATTACAACAATGTACAGTATGAAAACAAGTTAAAAGCATTGATAAAAAGGCAGGCTGCCAAGTTTCCATTCATCACGCATGACAGTTTACTTGACACATTGTACAGACTGCCACCTTGCAAGTGTACACTGTCACAGGAACAGTACGGTAAGCATATTCAGGAGCGGAGAAAATCAATGCCGTCGCACAACCACACAAAGACAACATGATGACAACAGCACTTCTCAGGAAGTAGAACACAGGTGGCCAAAGATTTCTGACATTCATTTGGAAGTGGCCCTACACAAACAGATCTAAGTTGTGCACATCCAACAAGAATTACAAAATCAGATCAGACTTCTGTTAAGTTCAAATACAAAGAGACGGTAGATTTTAATTTCATGTCCTGGGACATTCTTTGTTCAGTTCAAGTAATGCACAAGAATACGACTCTTACCGTTGTGAGGGGTGAATCTAGGCAGTTGCCCATACCAAAGGAGAAAAACGGCATTAAAAAGGACCAGGAGGACCCTTTCCCTGAAGAAACATTTGCAGCTTGACTTGTGAGAGGAGCATAAACTCTGGTTTCAACAAGACCCATGCGGACTGAAGAACTACAAAGTGCCGATGTTATGCTATCAACTGCCTTTTTTTGTGTTAATGAACAGAACAATTGGGAGCTTCCCTACTGATACGGCAGTAGGATGCCTTTCTCTGAGACAGACTAAGAAAGACGAACGCAGGCCAAGGACGGAAAACGGGAGAACGCCTATTAAAGGGGCGGTGATCCAGTGTTTCATGTCACACAGACCAAGCAACACAACTCAGTACAGATGCACAATTGCCAAAGGATAAAAATAGCAGGAGGAAGGTTTGAAAGAGTTTCCTTTTCTCGATAATCCCTCAAAATGCTTGCATCAACATATTGTATTGTGCGGTGTTACAAGGCTCTGGCAATCACATTTATGGATTCATTCATTTTCTTGACTAGCTGTATTTGCCCTGCAAAATGGTCCATTTTATCCACGCTATGCATCATGTTAGCTGCATCCTACACCCACACATGTCATCCTCTGCCCTCTGCAGGACGACACAAGGTCACTCTGACCTGCAGCAGATGCTCCCCTTAGAGGAGCATACAAAAACTGTGTGAGAACAGCACATATATCAAAATGGTACTCGACCGTATTACATGCCGGATGTAACCATGAAACATTTATTATGGGTGTAACGACTATACAGATTAATAAAGGCACTTACATTTACAGCGTGTCTCTTCTCTAGGTTACATTAATGTCTTCCCTCTGGATTGTGGTTTTATTTGTGGAATGATTTCTTCCTAATAAATTGGAGACAGAGTTGAATACTTTATTTACAAGCAATGTTTTGTAACTAATCACTGCCCTGTTTGGCAACATTATATTTGAGACTACATTTTGCATCATACCTAAATGGAAAGATTATAAAATCACTGCATGGGAACTGGCTTCTTGAATCTATGTTTTTTTTCCACTAACAATGCAGAAAGCTAATAAATAAAACCTAAAAAGATAGAAGCTCCGTGGGCCCGAATGAGTCAGATTGCCTCAGATGCTCAAAATGGAGCCCGCGGCATTTTCATATCAGTTCTCTGCAAACAGAGTTCCCAATAAATCATGCAGGAAGTTAAATTTGGCCACAGATTTGCACCTCGACTGGAACATTTCCAAGGGTCCAGCACAATCCACTTCAATAAGGAAGGGCTCTCATTGAGAAGGTCTGTGGGAGGATATATTACATAAGAAATGAATTTCTACAAGAAGGATTACCTGTTGTCTCTCCAAGAATTATAGTACTATATTTACACACTATGTAACGCTGTACACACTACGTATTGCCTATTGATAAAACTCAAATTTGTGTAAATTCTTAAAGTCGTAGTTCAACACTTAACATCTGTGGTCAATCTGGTGCCTCGTAGAACCCTGAAGAAAGTAAGGCGATTGTCTTCAAGAATATTCTTGAAACATTCAATCAGGCACTGGGAGAACATAGACATGCCACATAGGAAGGCCGGGGCTGGATTCAAACCCCCAACCTCTGCACTGCGAGGGAAATGTGCTAACCGGTCTACCACCATGCCGCGAGTACACAAGTAACACAATGAAATTTTTTGTGAATTACACAAAACTTGCTTTGATAGCTTGACACAACCAACAAATAGAAGGTTAGTGCTCTTACTGAGAAGAAAAAACATTAAATGTCACGTGTTAGGAGCTAGCTAGTGTTATCTCGACTTTTATGCTGTGAAAATGTGTTCCCATAGCCTTGCAAATTGTTTGAACGGAGTAAAAAATGTTAAAATAGCTAAAGGGAAAAATTTTAATACACCTTAATGTTAAGTAATGGCTTTTTGCCACCAAAGATGAACAGTGATTGCCATCTGTGAAAAATAATATTGGAATTGTTTTGAAATGTCAATTATATGCTTTGACCAACAATGTTTTCAAAACAAACTTTTACCTGTTGTACATGTACTTTTTTGTTTTCTTTTAACTTAGGATGTCCAAATATAACATGAAAGGACTGCTGATGAAAACCAGCCTCTAAGATAACTTGTGGCCATTTACAATGTATTTGTTAAAATGTGAATTCTTGTACGGTACACTGTCCCTTTTCCAAGAATTTGAATTTCAACTTGTGTTTTCCATATTAATTGGAATCATGTGGTCTTTGGGCACAAGACACAATGCATTTACTGTAAATTATTCTTGTGGACGACAACATCAAGCAATTCTCTTGGCCATGGATGGGTAATATCTTGCTTCTCTGAATTTGTTCCATCATTGTCAGTAATGCTGTCTGAAACACATTCACTCATGTCCACGCCATCCCTGTTTTTTCCCCGCTTTATAAGGCCCCAAGATCTCAATCAATAGAACTCAACTAAGGTTGTTCTCTCTATTCAGTCTTTTCTGTAGTGAACATGTTTTGGAGAAATAGAAAGGAGTAGAAAATACTGATACAGGTTTTCAAATAGGGAGTAAAAGCTAAAAGTCGTGAAAAAAATAAATACTGAAGTATGAATATGAGAAAAATCTATACTCAAGTACAGTAACGAAGTACTCTCTGCGTTACGGGATTTTTGTCATGTAAAATTTGCCTCAATAAGTAGGTAAACACTACTACTGTCGAGGGGGTCTTACCTGGCCAAAGAGTGAATTGAGGACAGTACGCAGGTTAACATCCGATGCAGAAGAAGCAGCAGCACTGGACCTCCGGGAGCGGCGTGAGGAGGTGCTGGACAGCGGCACCGGGGAGCTGGCTGACGGCGGGGACCTACTGGCCTGGCCGTCGCTTTTCGTCAAACCGCCCCTCTTCTGTTCCCGCGGATCGCACAGGGGTGTCCTGTCGTCATGAATGTCCGAGAGAGAGGGCATCCTCGGGAGAGGGCATTCACGGCAACGACGGCGATGCTCCGGCTGTGGCGGTGGCTCTGGTTCGGGCGGTCCGGGCGCGGACACTCGGTCCTCGCGGTTGTGCTTCCGGCGGCGGTGGTGTCGGTGTGCGCCGCGTTCCCTCACTCCACGGCCCTCCTCGACGTGAGGCTCTGGGTGGTCGAGGTGGCTGTCAGACGCGTGGGGTCGACACTTGACCCGCGCGGATTCAACTCCGTCGCGGTTGCCACTGAGCGAAGGGTGGCACAGCGGTCTCCGGGAGCTGACGTCGCTGTCTGCCGACAAGAAAGCCTCAACGGTGGTTCCATTGCTTTGGAGCGCGGCGGCGGTGGGACGGTGATGATGGTGCTGATGATGACTTCTCCGGCTCTCTGCCGTGCGTTCGTGGACGTGCGTGGATCTTCTCGACGATGTTTTCAGCAACGAGGTTGTGGAGTCAGATTTTGGAAAGGAGGAGCTCATTGCTGCGGGTCTACTGTGGTGTGTGACGGTGGGTTGATCGTCGACATCACGCGTCCTTCCCTTTCCATTGTCGACCAGTTTTCTGCTGCTCGCGATAAGTAGCAGCACCTGCTCGTGTGTGTGGCACACGTGTATGGCAAGCAAATAGGTCCAGAGAGCGCAGGGATAAGATGTTATTGACCCCCACATCCGTATGCTTTTGCTCCGTCCTTGCAGCTTTGAATACTGGTGAACACATTTTTATAAAATGTTTTCATAAGAGATGCAAATAAACTTTTTTAGATGAATATAGCGAATCTGCCCTCATTTTCGCTATATCAGGTTTTGCAATATACTACTACTACTACTACTAATAATAATAATACATGTCATATAGTTAGTAATTTATTGGTCATATTTTCATCTTAAAAATATGTGGTAGAAAAAAAGTAAAGCCATACTTTAAAATCAGGGATAAAAATACGTTGAAAGACATGAAGCCATATCAGAATAAAATTTGCTTTTGTCCAGTGTTATTTTAGTCTCGAAATACCAATGTTGGCAAAGTATGACCCGCGGGCCACAGACGCTACTTTTGTAATCCAGCCCACCAAACATTCACATAATTTTACTCAATTTTCTCCAGGGGTTTGGTAAATTTATTAATTTGTTATTATTTAACATTATTTTACGATTTAAAACAATTTTCCATTCATCCGTTTTCTGTATGGTTTATCCTGCGGTTGGCAAGCAACCAGTTCAGGTACACCCAGCCTCTGGGACCAAAGACAGCTGGGATAGGCACCAGCACACCCGTGACCCTAGTGAAGATAAGCGATACAGTGAATGGATGGATGGGTGAATTGTCAAATGAATTATAATGTAATTAATCATAAGTAACAATGTATACAAGAGTCATGATTTTTTTTTCAGGCAGACAGTATTCATTTCGCGCAGCTAAATTTAGATCCTTTGTGGCTCTTTACGTCATGGTCGAGGGGAAAGAGAGTGACCCGTGCTAAGAGCAGGTTGTGAAGCAATTAGGAGCGTGCCACCATTAATAGTTTTACGACCCGTCAAGTATGTCGGTCTTTGACGAGGGTTTTATCTGTGCCTTTCATGAGTGTGCGCATTCGAGGTGAGCGCCATTGCCATTTCATCTGTAATATGATTAATCGTTTTTATTAGTTGTGATTTCAATATCAATCAAAATAATTGCTGATTATGTTTTTCCCATAATCATCTGGCCCAGACTGTAACTTATCCGTCCGTTTTATAAATCACATGTGGCCCTTGAGCACAGGTGTCCCAATATGGTACCGTATTTTTGTACGTATAGTTATGTTGTTTAAGCTACATTTTTCATCCTTGGAATCACTTAGAATACAATATTTGCATTGTCCTTTCCTGAGAGTGTGGTCCCCCAACCCAGCCGCTTCACATTTTCTTCAAATGGGGTTTGCGCTCGGTGATTGTCAGTTGTGCGGTCACGGCAGGCAAGTAAGGCTGTGCCGCCCCCTGTTGTCCGGTTTCTGTATGTGAAGAGTAAAAAAGACTCAAGGCACTCACACAGGAGATGCTGCTGTTTGACTTTCTACGGTCAATAAACATGTTTTATCTCACATGTACTACACGCGTTGACGTTCAACGGCATCTCTACTATATTACACGAATGTGTGTGACATTTTTAGTCTTTCTTATCGGCCAGAAAACCGACCGAAAGTGCAGGGTGGCGGAAAGCAAGTACGTTGCCGCTGCCAGCAGGTGGCAGTGCTGCGCCCCCACTGTCTCAATGAAGCCCATTGTCATTGACGTACACAACGCCTCGAGAAAGCCTTGGCTGGTTGAGGATTATGCAGACATCTGGCCACCTTGAACTGGGAGTCCCATTCACTTGCATTGGGGTAGCTGTGTTTGGCTCCAATATCGTCGTCATAACTCGTCGAATTCGTTACAAATTTTGACATGGATTTGTTAGAAATATCAGACATGCAGTTATGGTACCAGACATCCAGGTAATTCTATCATAGGAGCTCTCTCTTCTCTTTAATGAATGTTAAATGAGGAAGAGCAAATTTATAGTATTTGTTTTAAAGCTAGATCTGAAAAAAAAAAAACGACTTGAATTTATATTCAATATTATTTTGTTTTTCTTCCTATCACATTGTTCAACAATGTGCATTTGATTGAAGCATAATTAGAAGCTTTGAAAACAAATATTCAAAATTGACTTTATTTGACACATGTTTCAATGAAAGTCAAAATTGAAATATAGGCTAATCTTCAATTTTGGGTCCATATTTTTATATTTGACTCCAAAGAAGTAGTGCCTCACCTCACCAGTCATGAACCTCACCACATGTGAGTCACTAAAGTGATGTACTGAGTTCATGCTTGAATGTGTTTGTTGGCACACTAGAATGTGTTAAAATTGCATTTTTGAAATGTTGAAATTGTTGTTGGTCCTTATGTCTCTCCATAATGTATGTCGAGTAACCTTTGCTTTGGTTTGTCTCAAACAAGCACAAGAATAAAAACAACATAATCGAGAAAGTCACACTTTGCATCCTGTCATTCATTTTGCGGCTTCTCCACATTAGGATCGGTGAGTTGGACCCACAGCTGACTTGGGGAAAGAGGTGGGGTTCACTGGACTGGGCACCAGCCAATCGCAGGGCAGTTTGCAAAAAACGCAAATGAACTCTGTTTTGTTTTTAAAATAAAGTATTTCAAATGAACACGAAACAACCATTCATTATTAGCAATGAGTCTTAAGCAATTTCCTCGCTGCAATTTCAAATATGACTATTGTGTGATAGACAGCTGTGAATCCACAAGGTATGCAACATCATTTTAAAATGACTTTTAGGAAAAAACTGACAACATTAATATTGTTGACCATTTATTAAATGTGCAGAAACACTTGAAAATCGACGCAAGGAAGCAACATAACGGGAATATATATAATACAATAGCATTAAAAAAAAACACAACATTGATGGTTCACGGATGGTTGATATTCCGACTAAACTATTGTAGGTTATAACTCATCACACAATAACATGGTAAGACACACTTAATTTCCAAAGTAGTTTGTAAAGACTTCTGAAGGCACTGTCAACTGTCTTATCTGTCTACGCACAAGCATTACGCAACATCCCCTGCTAAATCAGTCAGAAAGCTCAGAATGCTGTACTATAACATTACAAAACATCATCTCAACATGTCGAAGTCCTTTAAATAGTTTCTCTTTGCAGTTCCTTGCCACCTGGGTGGCAACAGCAGTAGGCACCAGTGTCCTGTAATTATCACTTTAGACAGCAGAGGTTGTAGCCACTACAAGCGAGTTAGTTTGGCACTGTCCCTAATCCAAATGTAAACAATTTTGTTAAACCATGAAGTCTAAAGAATGAGCTTTGATAATTATGCTCTTCTTCATATTGACGACAGTCATCCCCAAATCAAAAATTAAAAACAGACAGCTCAATGTGAGTGCCATTGTTCTTCGACATTGTAAACATCAGTGTTAGTTTGCAAACAACACGTGAAGCTGCTTGAGATTACTTTTCATGTGCAAAAAAAGAAAAAAAGTCCCTTTTAAACAGCACAAATCCATTATGATGGGTGTTAATTTGGATTCAGGATATATAAACGTATTAATGAATGTTTGCAGGTCATGCATAACTCAAAATAAAATATCTCAAGAACAGCAGCGTAGCAACTTCAAAAGTATTTTACAGAATCTATCAATTGCAACCAACATTGTGTTTGGACCGGCGAATTTAACTAACTCAAGACAACATGATAGTTATAAGCATTTAAAGACTGTTATTTCAAAACACATCAAACCATTTCACCCCCAATTTAACTTTAACGCTTACATACTGTATTTACAAGAATACAAATGTAATACCAAATGCATCCGAATTACCACCGTTTAGCAAATTTAGCAAAACATATTCATCTTCATTGTATCTCCACAGTTTGATTCATAGTATTGCCCCCCCCCCCAAAAAAAAAAGAAATGTGCTTTTCAACCATGTATTGTACAAGCAGGTGGGGACTCTGAGGACAATAAGCGACCTCAGCCGCATTAGCTATGTAAACATTCACGTAATGACTGATGTGTCATACCCCTGTTATCAAAGATATTTAGATGAGACCAATGGTACAAATATCTAGTTTAGACATTGGCTTCATCAGTTAAATATCAAAGCTAATAATCTCCAATTGTACATTCTATAGGTGGCTGATTCCACATCTTTCCAGATTGATGCCAAATTGACTGTTTTGATAAGTTCCCAAAAGAACTCATGTGTATTTTTGTGTTTAAAAATAAGCAAACAATGCGCTGCATGACCAATGCTGAAGATTCAGAAGTATTTTGTGTGAACACAGACACCGCAATGGATTTGAACTAAAACATTCCAGATGTCACAAAGCCTGCCGTAATTTAAGAGGTTTCAATGACAGCCTGGCGTCTGCATTCCATGGACATTAGTATTCCAGCAAATACCAGACTTTTGTGAAACCTCTTACAATAATGCTGATTGTTTTATTTCAAATCCTTTGTGGCGGTCTATCAAGGCAAAAAAAAAATAAATAAATAAAAAAAATATTCCGAAAACAAGTGTCACTGTCCAAAATACTGCTGGCACTCATTTTAAGTAAATGGTAAATGTGCTGTTAAATGCGGTCGTGTTTGACACGGACATGAGGCTAATATTTGTGCAGCTTCTCAGATGTGCTCAGATAAGAGAAAGAAAATGGAGCACACAGTGAATGTGACATTTGTTCTCTGGCACACCCTCACACACCCTTCTACCTCTTGCTTGGACACGATTCTTCACATCCGTTCACCTATTTGACTTCCTTCTCTTCTAAGCGGCCTGGAGTGAAGATGTAGTCTAAGGCTTGTCTCTCAGCGGCGGCCACATTGGGGTGCCAGAGGTCCACCATGAAGACCACTCTGAGGCCGTCCTCTGGACCCCCTACAAACAGAACCCAGAAAGTCATCACCCCAAAAAAATTACAGTGTTGCTTTTCACTTATAGTTGCTTCTGGATTCTAGTTTTCAGTCAAGCAGTCTTCATGATAAAAAGTTGAAATGCTTACCCTCGTGGAAGGCCCTGTGGAGGAAAGAGTCATCAAAAAGCAGACAGCTGCCCTCCGACCAGCATTGGGGCTCTCCACCAACTACAAGCTCACATGAGGGGGGCACTCGGAGACCTGCCAAAAAAAC